GAATGCAATTGAGTTCGGCCGTAAAGTTTCCGCAAAATTAAAGAAAAAATTGGATTAACAATAATGACATCATATCACTTGATGAATTTCAGCTGTTTATCGCAAAAATCAGCCGGCCAATCAGTCTCTAAACGTTTTGCTTTAAGTTGCTTTGTTAGTTATTTTGATAGCGATCTCGGTGTTTCGCTAAGATGTGCCAATCAAGACTTCTTAGGCAATGATTTAATTAGAACTGTTTAGTTACATTTGCTGATCTTTTGAGCCGGTATTCATTAGCATTCAATGTAATAGACAGCCCGGTAGGAGCTTTTACGCAAACAATCATTTTAAACAGAGTATTATTTCTCAGAATGTTCTTGCTTACATTTAATTCGTTAAGGCAAGTTGAATTGAGAGCACTAATTATAGGCCAATTTGCCGAAAATAATGCATCCAGGTAAAACATTTGAGAAACAAATTAAATTCGTCAGTTAATATTAAAGCCATACTTAAAAATCCTCAACATTAATGTTCCTAATGAACACATTATGCTTTCACAATGGCCCCTTATTATTTAAAAAATTCAACACTGTTTCGTTATATTTAAAAAGGACCACAGGATATAAGATAGATAATTTACCTAAAAGGTAAGATTCATATATATGCATCAGAAGAGCCTTATATTTCAGCAATATCAGTTTAAACTCGAACTTCGATCTAACCTCAAAAGACTGTGATATTTTTCTTGCTTGTAATATAACTTCAAACTTAGAATTAATTTCTCAGACTCACACACGGCTGCAATAAGTAAATCACAATTAAATTGTGTAAGTTTCAAAAAGCAAGTTGCTTAGCTTAGAATTAAAAACGCCAAACGCACACGAAATGCATAGTTAAATGACTGGCAGTACCTCGAATGTTTCCAGTTTATTTGACATTAGAAAACATTCTTAAAAATTAAATTTTGACTTTACTTTTTTTAGCCCACAAATAGAATGTTGGCCTAATTATTTACTACAAATTTAGACATGAATGCTTTTTGGTGTGCCATTTTTCGATAGCATTTAGTTCATTCTAAGCAAATCTTGGATATTAATCACAATTTTGCTTTGGACTGACGGAAATGAATTAGATGTATTTAACATCATTCGTGAACCTACGTCACGTAAACATTGAATATCACCTCCGTCTAGAAACATGAATAAGCAGGAAAAAGTCATCCACGCTAATTTTTAAACGGTTCAATAAGTTTAACGCGTTGCAGTCATATTGACATTTTCATTTTGCACATATCGAAATTGGTTACCTTAAATATCAGACTACTAATTAAAACTTATTTCTGTTAAACTTAGTGTCCAAAAAAAGTTAGTATCACAGCCAGCCAATGTTATCCTACTTTGTTGACCTCTTAGCTACATGCGAGTTTCTGCACTTTTTAAGTTGACTAAACGAACCAAAGCAAGCGGTAAAAACCTGGTTCACTAATTTTAGTGTATATTCAAAGACAAGACTACGATTTATATATAGTTAGCTACAAATGTTGTTGGAATACACGGATGGGAAAATTATTAACATTCTCGATGTGATTTACCAAAGGGTAAGGCGGCGTATTTGAATGTTGCTGGGCTGAATTTTGGTCAGTTTAGATGTCTCTTCTGGCGACCATTTCAGGATTACTGTAAGTTTTGTTACTCTTCTAAGCTACTAGAGAATCAAAGCAGCAAAGCGACATACCCGTATCTGCAGAAATTTTGACTGTTGTTGAAGAATTAAAGTAGTAGTTTTCTTGTCCATGCACGTTGCTTTCCAGAAAACATTTAGCTGAACAGAAGAAGCAAAAAGACGAACTTAACACATCATCGAATAAGTCCCTTGATGATCTCTCTTCAGAACTTCTTGAATTGCAGCGCTCTGTAACGTATGTGCTGTCGGGTCTCCGCCGACAGGCTGTGCAATCTTCGCACATGAGCGATGAGGTTTTGAAGGTACCAGGTGCATTATTTATGTAGTTGTTCATAAATTAAGCTTGAGAGAAATTCCAGCTTGGTTCAGCGGACACTTGATGCGACCTATGATTTCACCAAAAGCACACCGGAGTTATCTGAGTAGTGATGTTTTTATTTCTAAAGTTCTCCTTCTAGATATTTTAAAACCTGCATATCTTCATTCAGTAGCCGTGTTCAAGCATATAAGCAAGAGGTTCGGGCTATTGAGGACTTGCTTTCGTCACAAGCAAAAGCCTCTTTGACGCCGAAAGGTATGATGACTTTTTCAATATTAGCTCTTTATCAGAACTTGCGGAAGTCCTCAGAAAACTGGATGACCAATTCATGGCTCTGGCAGCACAATTGTACTCAATCAACGAAGAATTGAGTGTAAGCTCTTTTTAATTAAAGGGGAATATTCTGAGCTTTTAAAACTTTGGTTGCGCGTATATGTTGTCGGTCCGTTGTTGTTTCATAATTTCTGTAAATACCGCTATTACAAAGTAGTATTAATCGCGTACGTCACTTCGTTATTGCTTATTTAGATAGTTCCAGAGGATCCTTGACAGTCTTGTTTCGAAAGCAGTTGTTTGTTCTTGATCCGCATTCGTTTTCCAGTGGATTTAGAATTACTTTAAATCAATAAACAAATTGTTTGAAGTAACGTGTCCTTTGTAGTCTGCAAAAGCGCAGTTTCTTCGACAGCACCGAGATCTGGGTGGCAAAAAACCATTTCTCGAGTCTGCGTCCTCAGCAGCCAAGGCCCCCTTTGACGCGCTTCTTTTCGATTCCGAGAAACGGGATGGCCAGACGCCCTATGGGCCATCGCCCTTTGCCACAACGATGTCCATAATCACTGGAGTCACAACAGTTGTTCCTTCAGTTGTCGGAGCTCCCACCACGAATTTTTCCCTTAGCAGTGGTAACCTACAGCCTACTGCTCCCTGTGAGTGCTTTATTTAGCGTCAAGTGCTTATAACATTATGCTTCCGGTGTGCTAGCGTTGGTCCTCAACCCTTAAGGAATCTGTATGCTTGAAGTAATCAGATGGGAGTCGCCGTCCTCACAGGCGCTTAACACTTTGTCTCCGTCTGGTGTATTTATTGTAAATTTTTGACTCAAACAAACTAACCTTGCACCATCAATTCAAATGGTCCTCATGTACTGGTGCAACGTAAATTTCATGAGAACGGAGAACTCACATGCCATAAACCCCATCCTCCCGGGGGTGATATATATATTATTTGAAGTTTTGGCTAAACTCTACCAATGAGAAAACGGTAAACTAATCACCGGACAGAGTGCTTGAATATTCTAGGGCTGTGAAATTTGTTTGTCGAAAGGCTTTGCCGTAATCAGGTGGTTTTGGTTATTTGGCTTATTACTACCAGTTGCTGATTGCATTTCTGGGTGTCATTTCTCTCTGTTGATTCTGCTTTACCTACTTTCCAGTGGCCACAACAGCCACCACAGGTGGTTTCTCGTTTTCGACCTTCAAGCCAACGCCGCCAGCCGCCACAGCATTTACATTGGGCGGAACAACACAAACCACCTCTGCCACGACTGGCGGATTTGGACTTGGTGGTTTCGGAGCAGTTAGCACAAGTGCCACCGCGTCGAAAGGATTCGGATTCGGCCTGGGAGCCACTAATGCGACCGGTTTTGGCGTCACTAGCACTGCACCGTCGCTCGGCTTTGGTGTAACCAGTACCACGCCGTCGGTGGGCTTCGGTGCTACAAGCACCACACCATCGACTAACTTCGGGTTTGGTGCGCCGGCTTCCACCACGGGCGCAACACTCTTCGGGTCTTCGCCAGCTGCAAAGCCCGGTCTTTTTACCATAAAATGAGTACATTCCCGTTTTTCTATATGTGTATATAAAGGCCTGCTACCCGTAAGTCCTAACTGCGCATCCTTCTGGTGTAAAATACTTCCCATGCTATGGTCAAAACAGCCATTATTTGCGCCAGCAGGCCCCGATTTATTTCAGTACATGGTCAAAGTCATAGTGTTATGATTCTCATGGGAATAAAGAACCGCCGGTACCTCGACCGCAGAGCTTGCATTCTCCGTGTTACTGTTTTGTTGATAATAGTTTAGCTTACTGGGGCTGTTAGTAGCCGATTTTCTTACTCTTAACGGCCCAATTCTAGGATGTGCCACAAAGGAACGCGTGTTCATACGCCACATAATACCTAAGTAATTAGGGCAACGACATTCATGTGCAATACGCACCGAAAAGGTCCAATTTCACTCAAATTCGCGCATTATTTCACAAGACAAAATCTGCGCCACATTACACTCTTACACAACTCTGTAGTGATGCATTGTTTTCGTATTTCATACTGCAATTCGCCACGCTACCCAGCTAAATATTCCCATGTACCAGTGGTATATCTGCCAAATTAAATCTGCGTTTTTCCAAAAAAATTTGGCTCTTTGGCAGACAACCATAGATGGAATAAAATAAAAGCACTGCACCAAACGTCGGTCAATAATGTCTTAATTTGGCTCAGGAGTTGGATAAAAGTTGGAAGTGGGGGGGGGGGTTCGGGTAAAAAATCCTGTCATCGGTAGAAAAGAATGTGACGCTTATGCGTTATCACAAGTAGACAGTAAATGGACGCATTAAAGACAGTCCTAGTTGTCCCACTCCTCTAATTGGCCCTCGAGGGACCAGCAAATTGATTTGGAGGGCATTGGAAGTGGGGAGGCCAATAGGATTTTCTCTGAAACACTGTCTTCTGATCCGGTCGCAGATAGTCCACTTACGTAAACACCGCCGACGAATTCGATGAATTGCCTTAGGCGGTCTTGGAGTGATTTGTTGGCCGCCGCTAGACGCTCGCGCATTTCAGGCGACAGTAAGTTGACATGCGGACTGCGGCGTGAGAGGTTGGCGAAGACTGCGTCATTCAGTGCCGAGTTGAAGAGAGGTATTCCCAGGTGGAGGTTGAGGAGACAAATTGGTCGACTGGCGTCGAGGATTTCCTCAAGCGTGTCCTCAGAAAGCACAACGCGTGGATCGACGACAGAGTGTTCGAGAAATTGAGACGTGTTTTGCTGGTATGGATTTCCACTGCCAAATGTGCTGAGTTCAACCACTGTGCCCATGGTGTTATCCGATTCTGAGTCAACTTCATTCATCCCATCTGGAAGAAGGAGCGATAAATATCCAACGAGCGAGGTTAGATCCACTTCTTCTTGGACGCTGTTTAACCACGGAAGCCGGCTGCCGTTTTTCGACAAGAATTCGTTTGATATGGGAAGAGGAAGGAAGTGTTGATGGAGTGGAGTCCCTTTTTCACGATCATCGTAAGCCTGAATAAAAACATGGGTGTTCATTGTAAGGTCGTTGATAGAATAGAAGAGTGTGTATACGTCCATTACTACAGGATCGTTTCCCCAAGAAGTAACAAGGAAATGGGAGTAGCACGACAACGAGCGAGGAAGTCTAGTCACCCGAGTTCCACGGCATAGGAGAAGTGCTGGCATGCTAGACGAGTGGTGTTTAGGATCACCAATACCAGCTGCATGCGCAACAAACAAGCGAAACCAAGGAGAGCTTATTTCAGCAACAGGGGGCCCTACTGTTAGAGGCCAGTCATTACCAAACAACCTCGATGCTTCATAAGATAACGGAGCCATGCAGTAAAGAAGGCTGTAATTTTTTGACAGAATTCTGGCACGCGTGGCTGGCTCTAATGAGCCCAGCGAACCACACCTTACTAGATCCAACCACCGGAAATCAATTTCGTTGGGGGTTAAGGCGCCAGAAATATGACGTATTGTCTGACCCAAGCATTTGGCATGCTCGTAATAAACTCCGACATCTTGCTCGGCAGAATATGAGAGGGAGGCAAGCTCTCGATAGAAGGCACTTAAGGAGTCACCTGTTAGTTTGCCAACTTCAAACATCGTCACAGAATGTTTCTTCAAATCAGCCGAAAGATTTCCCAGCATAAGATATGCAGTTATGGTTGAATCGAAGATGAAGGCGACTTTTTTTGTCTCGATGGCAGACGCAGGATCAGAAATAAGAGAAGCAGTGTCTTCGGAGTGCTCTGAAGATGGTTTGTGAGGAGGGGGTTCGACTCTTTGAGCGAAACCCAGGCGGACAAACAGTGACGCGGCGTTTATTACAAATTGTGTTCCAACACCCAAGTCAGCAGCGAGTTGGCTTACAGAGGAATGAGCGTCGATTGAAAGAAATATCTTATAAAGCATTGTCTCACAACTATCACCTGTGACGCGATTCATTATGAAGCCATCCAGTGTGGGAACAAAAAGGCAGTCCGTTTCGCGGATGGGCACGTCAACATAAATAAGTCCTTGTCGGTACAGCTCACGAAATATGTCGATTGGAATTTCAGACAATTGGAGGCCTGAGCCGATATTGCCTTCGTCCACGACACAATTATCGATAATTCGGTCGAGAACAGCTTGCACATCGTGTGTTTGGGCCCTGACATCATCTACACTAACTGCTCCTGTCCTTACTATGAACCATGGCTCTAAATGCTTGCAATTTAGAGGATATTTTGGGAGTAATTCGTCAAGAATGGAAGAAGACGACTCAGGAGTATTTGGCCGAGATGAACATAGTTTTCCTTTATAAACATTCAAAAGGTCAATGTATTCATTTCTGCCAATTCCAAGTGTCTGGTAACAGTCGGCTGCAGTAAAGTTTGGAATCCGATCGTATGATAATTCGGACAGCATTGTACGATGGACGATAATCTTGTAGTACTCGAAAGGAGTTATCCTCAAACCCGCGACAATTTTCCGCTGAAGGTGATAAGGAAACAGCATCATTTGCTGCAGGCTGTATTGTATCAACTGACGATAATAAACCCTCTCACTTCGAACAATCTAGGATGACATGAAGAACAAGGCAAAATTACGTTTTTTATTAAGTCACCGACATATTCCATCTGATTTTGCAGAAAATAAATCAGACCACGAGCGTTATACTCCAATTCATCCTGGTTTAGATCCGCCTGAACCTGCGCAGGTAGCTCAGGCCAACATATTCCCTTTTTAATGCACTCATCAACAGACGACATTTCGTGTGGTGTGGCGTCGGATTAGGGCGCAGGCATGTTGGACCAACCAATCCCGTGTCTCTCTGCGATCCAATGGCATGCGGGAAAGGAAGGCAGCCAACCAGAGAAGGACACGGATGAGATGCAGTATATAACGAGCGGCGTGGCCAGCGTGGTGGACTCGGATGAAAGGCGCCTGACGCGTGGCTTTGGCTTCTGATTGGTCAATAAAGCCTGTTCTGTTGTACCGGTCTTTTACCTATTAGGGATCGGGTATTCTACATTCGAGCCTGTGAGGGGCGCGGACATATTGGGTTATACCGAGCTCTGCCTTCGTGTTCATTTATCAGACTGCGATGAAATCTTACAAACATCTGGGGACAAGAACGAATGGGAAGCACTACATAAGGAGCGGCGAAGCCAACGTATTCGACTTAGACATATGGCATCTGAGATCTGTTCTTTCTTGCAGGCGGAGATATTGTACAATGGCATTGGATGGCGCCACAGATTATTTGGTAAATGGTCATTTGGGAGTAATCTGTCATATTTTGCTAAAACTGGTCAGACTGAAGAAGCCCCCGACTATGCAATTATTTTAACACCAAGGAGGGCTAACAAAAACTAAAGATAGGAGCATGGATAAGGCTACAAGTAGTTAACTGTAGCACGGAATACATCTGGATCCTCATGATATAATTTCATATTTTGCCTGGAAGTAAACTCTCAATGTGTGACAAAGACGGACAAGCTAATAATGATTTGTACATTTTGTTTCCCGCCTGATAGTAACGTTAGAAGTTAACAAAAAAGCCGTTAGTTACTTCTCACCTTAAAAGCTCTTTGAAAAAAGTTGTACTTTTAATTTTATGTACTAAGGCTCACAAAGTGTGTGTTTGAACTGCGACAGAGTGTATCCAATTCGTTGTTATGGATTTCGCTTAAGCTGTAAAACATGTTTCATTATTTTGGCAGATCAAAACAGTAGTCAGTGCTTTTAAGGGGTCTATCGGGATTGCCGATTAAGGTATCTGTCATTCTGTGAATAATACTTCAGCAATCGTCGCGAAAAAACGATAAGCTACAAAAGAGTTGGCGATTTGGCCGTTCAAAGTAACTTGAGCCTGAAGTCCATTTTTACTGCAGAATAATCTTATGCAAATAAAATTATCACTGGTGATTAAAACCGTATGTTTATTGCGAATATATGAATGAGTACCTTGATTTGTAAATAAACCAGAAATGCTCTTTTTAAATATGGACTATGACACGCTTGCCACAACCTGCATTACGTTGGAGGAAAGAATTTAGTGCGTACATCTTTGGGTTAAAAAATTTTTGTACTAAAAATGATTTCTGTTTAATTATATTTTTTAAAAATGCACGTGTCTACATTTGCAACATTAATAGAATGAACGACTGTTTGCAAAATCTGATCAGAGGACACAGGTCGGATTAGCAATCATGAAATTGATAGTGTGAAATCTGTAATTAGTACGTCTTTCACAAATTTCCGGTGGGTGTACCAGCGAGAAGTAGGATATCAGTTTGCACTATACAGCTATGAAAATTTCATAGCTGTATAGAGCATTCATCAAACTGATATCCTAAAAAAATCTCATAAGTATGAAAAGTTTAGCCCAGTTATATAAACGCGGCTTTAATCATCAGAATTGTACGTTGCATTGTCGCTGTTAGTCGCAATTTTTATCCTTAAATTAAGGTTGTGCAGCAAAATTACTTGTGCGTCTCGTTAATTTTAAAAATTTTTTGAAGGTTAATGCAAAAATGTGGATAAAGTACTTTTATTAAAAACACATGATTTGAAAGCACGAACAGATGGTGCAGACTAATTGAGTTACTAAATACAAGAGTTAAACGCAATAAGACAGCTACTCATTCCAAAAAAGGTACATAATGCATGCACTTGAATAATTATGGGGATAACGAAAAAATGTAAACTCATAATGAGATGTGGCGGCATTTAGCTCCTTTTTCTGCTTCGTATCTGGTATTCAAGTATAATTAAGACATAAGTAATAAATAGAGTTTGTTTGCCATTTATCTTTCAAATAAAGTATTTACACTGAAATATGCTAATATGTATTATGTGCACATGTTCGAATTTTTATATCAATGAATTATTATAACCTTAAGGTCATTTCCGCGTCTTCTATTTTGTCGCGTTGAATCGCGCGGAATTTTGATAATTCAGGATGGCCCCTAACCTCCAATTTGCTACTCTGCGCTTATATGTTTTCTTTCTTAACTTTATGATATGGGTACGAACATGGTATTCGAGTTTATTTTTAGCTGCTTGGACTCGTGATCTTAGGTCTTTCAATATATGTCTGTCTGAACAAGTCCAATACACCTGAAGTGCTTGGGAATTATCTTTTCAATGCTAGCGCTTACGTTGCATTGTTTTCTTCTGTGTTTATAATAATCCTTCCAGTTTGGTGCCATATAGTCATAAAAAGACACAGTCGCTTTTCTCTGATTATAGTAAATTGATATCCCGAATACTTGCATTTATCGCTCTAGTATATTGCTGCCCTTGCAATATTATTTCTTATGACATTGTGTGGAGCCATAAGTATTCTTGTATTTCCCGCGCCAGTAAGCACTTACTATTAGTGACTACGTTTTAAGCTGCAATCAGCTGTGATAGCTGAGATGAATAGAACATTGTTCAAAGATTATGGTAAAAAAGGATTTATTACTGACTCATGGAATTTCGTCCAATCTCACCTGCGATGCTGTGCGGTGGAAGACAATGGTTGGCAAGCTTATCGTGGCTCTTGGTGGGACTTATCAACCAATGCGTATTTTTACAACACAAATTCTCAATTACCGGGTACGTCCGGTTTAACTGCGCATCCATTTTATAGAAACCAGCTTATTTTACAAACGTGTACCCGAGTCCTGTTGTTTTACGATTCCGGACCCTTTAACCGGGAGGCCAACAAACACTTTTCTTGACGTCGAACAATGCCAGAACTGGCAGTACGGCCCACCACGAATAAATGGCGGGGCACATAATGATGCGATTTACTACAGGGTAAGTACCGCGATTCTGATTTGAGACATACATATTAGGGTTGCTTCTCGTCCTTAAAATCGTACCTCGACTTATTTGGCAAGCCCATTGGTGCCCTGACCTTCGTAGCTGCCGTTATTCTCGTAAGTTAGCTATCCCAAACTAATTCTGTCTTAAACTTAGGGACTATCTCTCGCGTTCTCCGTTCTTCTACTTCTTAAAATGGGCGAAAGCCCTAAATATGCGAAACAGCTATATCGACCTTCATAGATTTTATATTTCAAAAGGCCATTAATAATAAAAAATTTTTTACTATATACATGTCTTGACTCCAATAATACACCGAGCTTAACGAGCTTTTTTTGACGAGCCGAAGCCACCAAACCCCATTGCAGCAGCAACATCGTCATCGACTAGGTCAGCGTCTTCGGCCTTCCGTTTCTTCTCTTTTCGCCTCTCACGCCTGTACGCCTTCATCTTCTCTTCTTCCTCTGCAATCTGTTTCAATCTTTCGTCTATGCTGTATTCCTGTGCCTTCTGTTCTTGAGCCCGTTTGTGCATGGAAAACCTCCCTTTTACATCATCCAGAGTCGAACGTTTTATGCGCATAGACATTCCGAGATTACGTTGATGCTTCTTTCCATTAATGTGGTCAAGGTAGTTAATCGAGTCCTTCACGACACAGTCGCACACCTCACAATAATAGCCGGCCTGCGAACTGCCAGGGCCAGTCTTGGCAATCACTTGTGACTTGTTCAAGTTCGACTCAAGGTCAATCTAAAGGCATTTGGTAAAAAAAAACCAAAGATTGCAAACCGTGTATTCACGGGCCTTAAGAGGCTGTCGTTTAACGGTTTCCTTTTCCGTGCGAGCATTGCGGAGTGCCTCCAATTCCTCTGTAGACCTCTGATCAGCCAATTTTTCGAAATACGCACTGTCCCATTTCCGACGATGGTCTGCACACATATTGCCTACAAAAGAATTGATTTCAATATGATGACCTCGAAAACGTTGACGGGATTAGTGATCTTTGCAAAGTAAAAGCATTTGACCGCTTGAAGGATTTTCACCTTTGACAGTTTGAGGGTTTGGCCGACCAACTCTGTGGCTTTTAGGTGATTTGCAAGTTGGTTACAACCACAATTTAGCAGTGGAGAACATGGATTCCTGATTACGAAGTAAAGCAACATCGGATTTGCAATATTTGGTGTAAATTACTTTTAGATCAGCGTTGTACTGAAAGACATGGAAAACACAAATATTGTTCAACTCCCACGTAGAAAATCCTTAAATATATTTTTCCTGCATTACTTATTAAGGGTTGGCAATTTTTTACGGTTTTTCAGTATAGACGATGGTGTTTTGACGTTCATGAATTCGCCCACAACACTGAATATATTATCGCAGAAAGTAAAAATAGATTAACAATAAAGAAGTCGTAAACAGGTTATAACGAATTTAAAACAAATATGCCGCATATTGCAGTGTATCTAGTCCCGAGATGAAACCAACGAGTTGAATGGCAGTCGATGCATTAATGGAAGAACTTCGATCGATATATTTTGTTAAAAATATAGAATTCGGAGTTAAATGTCTCAAATGTGTTGAATAAAAAAGTAACATAAGGAGACCTAAGTACCTTGTGGACTTGAGAATGTTAAAAAAGCCAAAGAACTAAATAATCCCAACATAACAGAGAGCTACAATTGAGAAGAATTTAGTGTAGGTAATCTAAGTCAAACATCGACAGACCAAATTATTTGGCAAAACTACAGAGTTTAAAATTCGTTGATTCAAACCGATTTCATCTACATCATTCGATGACTACGGTATAACATCTGACGAGGTGTGTCATCAATGTACGCTCTAAGTGAGCAAATAAGGAATTGCCAGATAAAACTTTGTTTTCGTGGACCATTAGCAACAAATGTCCAGGCCGAAAGATTGACACTCTTTTTCGAAAAAATCTGGCATATCAAGCGCATATTCCAAATGACTATTTTCATAAGCCTTTATGATTTTGCTTTCACGTTCGATCACCGTTTCACGAAAGGAATTAGAGAACACATATATGCTTACTGTAAATATAAAGTATGCTTTGAACTACTAGAAAAATATATACAAATTAGAAATAGGGTTCGTGCTAATAAATAATGTTAGCAAAACCTAGAAACTAACTTGGTGTAACCTCAAATTTGCGCAGACAAAGTACCTACAGGACACTTGCTGGTTATTGGTTCACATGAAAGTATCGTGAATGCTTTATGAAAAAGTAGTTATAAGAAATATCACTAACTTAAGGAAACCTTTTTTTTGTTGAAGGGCATTTCAAAATAAAAGGATTTGCAATTAAATAGCAATCCTTTATGCTCGCCCAAAACATACGAAATACCTTAGAGTCTGATTTACATTATGAACGAAGATTATTAATTTTTATAAAACTGTTATTTTCCAACTAATTACATCAATTTTTAAATCAAATTATTGCATGTTTAGCCTATTTACGTGAATATTTACAAAAGATAAAGCAATTTGCTTCATTTGATCAGAAAACCTCAAATTTCGGAAGTGGCAATCCATGACTGATAAAACGACACACCTTAATAACTGGTATTTATCGGCAATGTGTTTCGCATTTAAAATATATTTAGGGCGTTTTCAATCTCTAATCTTATGTGCTGCAGCACAGGCAAATTGGTAATCCCCTAAAACATTACCAAGGACACTTGAAGAGAATTACAAAATGATAATACACCGTAGTCTGACAAACTAACGACCGAGTAAACAGGGGTTTTTACAGCAATGAATGCATATTTTTGTAAATTATATTATTTGCATTCTTCTGAATATGTGACAGTTAACAGTAAAATAAAACAATTAAACATAGCAGTAGAATAAGGAAATCTTTTAAATTTCTATATAATCAGGATTCATTAAATTAAAGAACATTGCACTGATCCAACACCTTAGTTGGGAAAAATGGTATAAACTATGATCCGGAACATGTTTGCACATGCATTCATTAGTTAAACAGCCGCAAAATAATTGCACGCACCTAGGTATGCTATGAATAATCAGGTCTTAAACACCTGTATATGAAGCTACATAAAAGCATTTAATGGCAGCAATATTATTTCAATCAGAAAAATATTTTTTGTGGTAAGTCAAACTTTGTCGTTTTCTTTAAATTAGAGCAAATTTATGCTCGCATGCATGATATTTAGTCAAAAAAGTAATATATTTGATTTTGGTAAAATTAAGTTGTAAACATGTATTCGGTAAAAATGTTTTTTTTGAATATTTTACGATCATGAACAGAAAACAAAACAGGTACAAAATCGTACTAGCTCGAGTATTAACATACACATTTTAGTAAACGGGTGCTGGGCTACGTGGCAGTTTCCAAGTATTTAACTAAAAATTTAGGCATTACTTACCTTTGCGTTTTTGTAATATATCTTATAATAGAAATAAAACAAAGAAATATAAAATTCAAACATTTCCCCATTAACGAAACGAACAGTCATGGTTTTGTTTGTTTTTATTGTTTAATTTAATGGTGACTGTTCACTAAATGGGCGATGAATGGCCTTGTTTTCTTCGATTATTATTTTTGAAATTGCAAAAATCATCTGTTTGGTTTCTTTTTAAAAAAATGGTAGTGAAATAGTTGTGAATATGAAACTCCAGGATATGATATATTACACCAGATTTTATATTAAAGGTTTTATTTAAATCAACTCTAACCAATCAGTCACGAATTGGTGTGTCCGCCAAGTTAGTGCAAGGATGAAGAGGGTCTCGCGAAGAGAATCGCCATTGCGTAAAAAGTATAGACGTGAAACCGGAAGTGCTGTAAGGAACTCAAGTGGTTTTAGGGGTTACGGAAACATCGTGAATAGTCGTATGCGACCATTACAGCAGTCTCTGCCGTCTGATAGGCGTAGTCATCGTCCTGGGAATTCTTCATTCACCCGTTCATCTCGTGATTTTACTGATACGGGTCGCAAAAATATCTCAGGAGGTTATCATTCAGGGCCTACTCTCAGGCGGTTTCCTCAACGCACCTCTGGAAACAGGTAACTTTTTTGCTTTTGTTGGTCGGTTTGCTCCGCCATCTTGTGGATGTTGGTTCGACTGTGGATGTTCTCTCAGTGAATTTTATGGCCTAGCATGCCTCGAATTCTTTGGGAATTTTCATTTCCCCCAAGTCTGCCTGCCTTTATTATTCATCGGAAAGGCCATTGTGTCCTATGCATAACTAAACTTCTGTTGGATTTGTTTCTCCTACGTCACCCTGTTCTCTTAACTGATAAGGAACCCAAACACAGTAGAAAAATTCGTTTGATCTCCTCTCTCACTAAAGCAATTCGTGGGATTTCCATAATATTCCGGCGACTGTTTTGCTTGAAGACCACTTCGAAGTGTGAGCACCGAACCCAAATTCTTATCAAGTTCTCACGGTCGTGGATCGCGTAATAATGATCAAGGCAATTTATCAACGTAACTCCGGGCACGAGTCCCGAGCTCTTGGATTTGCAGCTTTCGTTTCTTCCGAAATCAACACCCGGCTTCTGTGTAAATGGGTATTCGGAGAACGTTTCCCCTGGAGCTGTGGTTGGTGATCGGGAATCTAAGTGGCCTTGGTAGTGTATACCACTTCTTATCCGCTGAAAATGATCAATTGTGCTCCATGTGCTATTATCTGGGGACCTAATATATCAATTATTTGCTCAAACTCCTACGACGTCCCACCACACCATTCTTCAGGTCAAGCCGGCTACTTCATTGTGTTAGGGAGAGGAGGATGCTTCTGTGCTGAATTTACTGAGTGCACTCATTTTGGGGCACAGTTTTGTTCTCTGTGTTGTTTTTTCAAACTCACTTTACCTCCAATATTTTCACCCGTTTAGTGCAGTGATGATCATTGCTCATCTGTTCCGAAGGAACTTTCCCGTTTAGACTTAACAATATACCGTAGACCCTACTTACGTAAGTTTGTTGAATAAAAATGGAATAAAATTCGATGACCTGTGGTAACTTTTAAGTATTCCTTTTTCTGCCACAAAATTTTAAATCGGAACTCTGCTGACGACCCTTCGTTACGTATTCGAGGCATACATATCTAAAACATTTTCTAAAATCCTATCTAAAGTACTTTTTAAAGTCAACTGCTTTGCATTTTGGTGGGGTTCACAATCAGTGTCGACGAAGTTTCTCGGCGGTAAGTTATTGTGTTTGCACCTAGAGGGAAAAGATTTGTAGTCATGTTGTATTTCAGGTTCATTTTCGTGAATGTAGTACTCATGTTTTATTCTTGGGCTTGTTATTTGTTTGTATTCTAGGAATTCAATTTTTCTTTATATAGCGTTTGTATTTAACTTTAAAAAGGCATCAGATGCTTATCCGAAAGGTCAGTGCTTGCCTTACAAACGCTGGTTAAATCGATATAACCATGCAAGCCACCTCTTTTTACCCAGATTTGGCAAAGTGAGGTAAATATTTGTTTCCTTTTTAGCGGAGACGCTCGTTCATCTGATGTGTACAACCAAGGTGGATCAAACTCGGACCGATTTCTACAGAGTTTGGTGCCAAGTGGCGATTTAGTTGGACCAACTGGGACAAAAATCGACCCCGTCTTCGCAGCAGCAGCTGCTGCCGCTCTCAATGCAACTCTCTCCGCCCCATCAGTCTCGTCTTCTAATCTCTACTCGCATAATTCCTCAGCAACTGTAGCTGCCGTTGCGGCGGCCGCGATGAACGCTGCTGCACTCGCAGCTGCCCTTGGGGGCGCGTCAAATCAATCAAACGCTGGCGCCAGTCCGAATTTCCAAATCCCCGGAATGGGCACGCATTCGGCGGCAATGAAACCCAGCAGGTCTTCTCCCTATGATCGCCGCGTTGGCAGCGGCAACTATAGGAATGAGCGCCCTCGCGAGCGCGAGTCCTCGTTCAGGAATGACTCAGCTCGCCGCACTTCAAGCAGCGGTGGTGGTGGTGGCGGCGGCGGAGGTGGTGCTCATCCCAGCCCGGAGGATGACCCTACCGCCACACGCACCCTTTTCGTAGGCAACCTCCCTCCTGACATCCGCATTTCCGAGCTTCGTCAAATTTTCGACGTTTATGGCATCCTGGAGGATATCGACATTAAACGTCCCCAGTCGTCTAACTCCAACGAACCGACTTATGCATTTCTGAAGTACGTTAATGTTAGCATGGCCTACAGGGCGAAGTTGGGCATGGCAGGCAAGCGAATCGCGGGCTACATCTGCAAAATTGGCTACGGGAAAGTGACACCCACTCGGTGCTTGTGGGTCGGTGGTTTGGGACCGTGGGCGAATTACCCCATGTTTGCCTCTGTTGTCGAGCGATTTTCTCGACCTAGAAAGATCATCTGGCCCTCGGGTAAGGGCTACGCAAACATTCTCTACTCGTCTACCGATGCCGCTGCGGCTGCTGCTGCTGCTTTACGCGGATACCCTTTGGGTGGCAGTAGCCACCGCCTCCGCGTTGATTTTACCGATGAGGCGCATATGCTCGGTACGGGGACGATCGACTCCCTGCGTCGCGGACGAACTACTGGCAATGGGGGCGAGCGAGTACATCATTCTGTGAGGCGCGACACACACAGGCGGCCGCGATCCATCTCTCGTTCGCCCATACGAGCCCCAAGTCGTAGGTCGTCTTCAGCCTCCGTGGCGAAAAGCGCCACGCCGTGTCCTTCCTCACAATCCCGTTCTTCTACCCCTGCTGTCGCCATTCCCGACAACATGACGTTGGAGTCGGCGTCGACTATCGAGGATGTTGCCTCCTGCCTCGCTGGTCCGGTTTGGAGGGCTGTCTTCGTTCTGAAGAAGAGCAATTTCTCCTGCCGATTGCACGCTGTTTCTGGGGACTCGGCACTCGCTGATCAGTTGTTCCCCCGTCAACGACCCAAACCACCACAGACCCCACCAGACGACGAGGACGAGAATGGACAAGATGACAGGCGCTCTGCACCGTCTCCGGGCGACAATTCTATCGACCCACCGTTGCTGCGAATCAGTCAGCGTATGAAAATGGATCCGGCGAAATTGGAGGATGTGCGCAAGCGAATGAAGTCGGTGGGAGACTCGGGTTATTGTGTGCTGCTGGCTACAGAAGCGGCCAATGAGATAAGCTCTGACAATCACAGCAGACCCCTACGCGACCTCATCAACTACCTTGCAAGCAAGGAGGCCGCAGGCGTGGTGCTAATGAATCCCGAACAGCAGCAGCAGCAGCAACAAGACGACGGAAGAGGTGAGTCGGAGTCGACGGGCGTGCTGCACGTCCTTCCGCCCAGCGACTTCGCCGTTTCCCTTCTGGTGGAGGGTGGAGCTACTGGTTTGCAGCAGAAGAATTCAGCTGTTGTTGGCGACAAGTTTCTCGTTATCCTTCTGATCCGAAGTTATGGCCTCCTGTGAAAAGAGCACATTTTTATGCTAGCATAACAACCACAATAGTTTTTATCATTTACCACGCAGTTCTTCCCGACTTCTGTTTCTGACTGCTTCACGCGGGGTTTGTAACTTTGCTGGGCGGTAGTAGAAACTAGTAGGCTTGGGCTGTGTAAGTGTGGTTTCCAATAGGCAGTAAGATTGAGTTAGTGAATGCACAACAATTTGTTCTGCACAAGTCCTTTAGTGGTTCTTTTTTACGGCTGCAAGACTTGATTTATTGGGTGCAGAGTTTGTTCGTTGAGGGTGTGGTTGCGTGCCTGAGCGTCTATTGGTTTAATTGCCAGAACTTCTCTTCTATTCGGTTAGCTGTGCACGTGCTCAACCATCAGCAGTTTTCGGGAACTACAACCAGTAGGTTTAATCCGTGTAAACTGCTAAATTGTCTAGAAGGCACGCGTGTTTTCTTGCTCTTGTCAACATCACCTCAGGCTTGTTTTAAGCTCACGTGCCTTGATGGCTGATCTCGTGTAGTGAACAGCATTACTTTCGTTCTACAGTGAAACCGTGAGCCCAATCAACGGCTACTGTCTACTGAGTCTACTCCTATTCCCTACGGGTGATCGAACCACGTGTACTTATCGATTCTCACTGCATCGGTTACCGCTATTGACTTTTCAGGCCCACAACATAACAGACGGGAATAATCCACGTGCTTCGAGGTTAAATTAATTTCTTAAAATTGAAAAGAATTCTACAGGCGTTTGCTTAATGCATTCACCCGGCCACACTGATGTCAGACTCTTCAGAGAAATGAACTGATGTAAAGCAAGACGTTCAGGCTCAGGCGTGGCTCTTTGACATCATATTCAGGAACTCCTCGTAGGAGATGGTGCCATTTCGGTCTAGGTCGGCCTCCGTAATCATGTCGTCGATCTCACTGTCAGTCAGTTTGAGGTGAAGGTTGTGCAGGACCTGCCGCAACTCGCCCGTCGTGATGTTCCCATCGTCGTTCTTGTCGAAGAAGGCGAAGGCGATTTTGAAGTAGAAGTCCTCGCCCTTGGCCTCGTCCATCAGCGGCTGCATCAGAGCCACGAACTCGCGGAAGTCGATGCGTCCGTCGTTGTTCTTGTCCAGGCTGCTGAAGATCTCCTTCGCCTCGTCAGTTGTGCAGGCTCGATTGAACTGTTTCATCATTGTCTTCAACTCCGACAGCGACATGTAGCCGTTGTGGTCACGATCGAAGAGGGCGAAGACTTCGCGCAGCTCCTCAAGGCTTTCTTCACTCGGCGAACCCGGCATTTTTGTGTACAGTGTGTCTGCAAACACCCGTGACCAGTGTAGCCTGGGCTTGGGAGCAATTATTGATCGTTCCTCAGGGTCACTGAATACACGTGACCTCACGTGCACAGTCAGCATTCATGTGCGTTGTGTCAACGAGTTTCCATAAACCTTCGCAAGATCGTGTCGTGATTGATTATTTCACTGCTAAGCTTCACTCCGATTCATTTATTAGTTTTCTGTTGAACAAGCTAGCAACCGCTTAATTTGACATGGCTTCGTAAAGTGCTAAGCTTAAGGGGCGTAGAGAGTTGAGGTTTGTTTGTAAAATGCCAAGAAGACGTTGGACAAAGCCCACATTCCCCCAGGCAGCATCGGGCCGCCTGTTGGCTCAGTCGTCGACTTCAACTAGCTGTCTGGAAAGGTCAAAGTCTATAACCTTGTTACTTAAATTATGCTAAGTAGGACTATTAATTTCTATGCAGTAACGGCTTGTCCCCCTTGGCCCTCTCTGGGAAATTTCCGTTTAGAAATCTATTTTCATTTTAGCGTTCATTTTCTACTTCGTCAGTTGATTGATCATGCTAAGGGTAGTTGCTAGTACTTATCAAAGGAGTGACTCACCTTTAAATACGCTGGTATTTCACCGATCTACGCCATCTTGAAATGCGTCCGTAACATACGGAGGGATCACCAATAATCGTATTCCTTGCCTTCCAAAACTAAAGTGTCCCAGGCTACCTTGAATGTGCGAGGTCTTCTATAACTCTGAAGTCGTAAATGAACTGTCCAATTAGGAACGAGTGATTTACTTGACATAGAGCACTACTTGTTAAACAACTGCCGAAAAAGCCACACCGCAAGCCCTTTTATGGCACCCTGGCAAGACTGCTTTTTCGAAAAGAACCAAAAACCCGCGAAAGAGCGCACTTTCGGTGCAGAAGAGCACAAACGCAGAAAAAGTATCGATTTTGTGCGCGCGCGCGCGCGCACACAGAAACACACGTCGTGGGTGGCGATTGTGATGCTTTCAGTTTCAGTTTTAAGCACTTCTTAACAAACATTCGATATTTTTATACTTATACACATCAGGTGACAGAGGGTTTCAGTGCTTTGGCAGACGAAGAGCTTCCTGATTCCAGCAATTGTTGCGATCGATTCGAAATACGGCCAACTCTGTGCTTTGGTAAAGAGCCAGATCGCAGCCATGTTGGTAAACCTGCAGTTAAGTGAACAGTGCCGTGCAAATGGAGAAAAAGTGCTCTTAACAAACTCCGCGCATAGTTTTCGTTATGAAAAAGACAGTATGGCATCAAAACACCAAAATTGGAGAGGGGGAGGGAGGAGCGTTCGGGTTGGCTGCTGTACATGTGGACTTCGGGGAGAATAGGGGGCCGGACGACACCCCAAAGGCATCTTGCGGTGGAGCGCGCTGTTGCTGGCTCGCATTTGGACCCTACCTCGGCACCAGTCCAGCAATGAGTGAGATGACGATGATGAGGATAATCACAGTGACTACAGTTATGAGGATTACTTTTTTCTAAAAAAGGAGACATAAGCAAAGGCACGTGAACATAATCTCTGTTACAAGTTACCTGAAATTCTATTTTTTATCTTTATTTCTACGACCTTTACAATAAAAACCACCATCAGCCAATGGGAGGAGACCGCCTGTTTTAAAATGCATTGTCGCAAAAATCGATAACAATGGAAAACACCATAAAAAGGGGTGATAGACAGGGCCACAAAAGAAAAGAGTTTTATCGTATAAACAATAGTGATGTCAAAAAAAGTGGTTTTCCCGCCACTGCAGATCGATGTGTTTGTGAGTAGCCCAAGTCAGGCGGCTACCTCATGAGTTGAGAGCTCATGTTAACAATAGCTATGGCAACCATTATGAGTTACGCGAGGTTGCCATGGTGACGACAAATATTGTTGACTTTGGTGTCACAACTATGGAGCGACCTGTGGCGAGTCGTATTTTGGCTACATTGTAGTACGTGAAGCCTGAACCCCCGCAATTGACGCCAAATATATGGTAGAAAAATTAGTTGATCACAACTAGAGAAGACTAGTTGAATGAGCAATTACTAAATAACTAATAAAAAGTGGGAGGCAACATTTGGCGTGTATTCTGTGATTTTTTTCAGTGAAATTCACAGCTTAGTTGTGAAGTGGCACATTAAATTACCCTCAACGAGAAATGCATCACAGGTAATAAAATACGTGATACACCCACGCGATCAAATGACTTAGATCGGAAAAATTGAGAGGTGACTGCCACCACCTGCCTGATTCCACCCTCCTCAAGGAAAGCATTATGCGAATCGCAGTTTGTGTTCACGAGAAATTCAACAATGAATACAGGACCGCTGAGGTGGCTACGTGGCGTTTTAAGTGAGTACCAGCGAAGACAAATTGCAACGGACTGAGTACGCATCGTATCAAACTCCCTCCAAGCACGCAGATTGTCGGTCTCACGTCGAAACTTAAAATTTCGCCTCAATTTTTTTAGGAAACCCGCTGGTTACCGTGGAGGTTTGTTGGACTTCGGGTGGGTGTCATTCAATGTCATTTGAAACTTGTGCAAATGACGGTTGGTCTCACACTCAGCATTACCAAACTCAGAACCACATGACGACTGCTAGGTCCTGTGGGAACGGCGTTTTCTTGAGTTTAGTCACGTCTTTTAATGCGATTGACGTCACCGTAGGCATCTGTGACTATCTTGCCGTGTGTTTTTGGCCCCAGTTGAAAGAACACGCTGCTTTCCGTGGACCGCCGTCGGCTGGTTCACCGTGAACGCGCATTGGACGAGAGGTTCGATTTCCACCCCAACCGAAAGCTTGAGATCTCACTGGTCCAAGGTTGCACAGTTAATTTCCAAGCACTCTCGCACTCCCCCACTTCAGCACGCTAGATGCCTTACGTGAGGCCGCCGCTGCACGCATTAATTAGAATATTCTCATGCGTGACACCATGAGATGCCTTTGCCTACGCTGCATGCACGCACACACACACACACACACACTAATGGCTGTCACAGAAGGCGTTTTCGTTACATGTTCCACGGGGGACGATCCGCTCGCGGACCGGGTTTACGTGAGTAACAAGGATGGTTGCTGATGGCAAAGCATCGTAGGATCTTCCAGGAGCAGCGTAAGCAGCTCCTGTGGCGCTAAGTGGTTCAGTTAGTGATGGCAACAGCAGTGGAGGGTATTTTCAGGACAGACGTGTCCAGGTTTGGCGACGTCTGATGGCTCAGACATATTGGAACACGCTGGCTTCAGCCAATCCTGTGTCACTCTGAGTTCCAATGGCATGCGAGGGAGAGAGTCAGCCAACCAGAGAAGGACACGAATGAGGTGCAGTATATAGTGAGCGGCGTGGCCAGCGTGGTGGACTCGGATGGAAGGCGCCCGACTTTTGGTTCTGGCTTGTGATTGGTCAATAAAGCCTTGTCTGATGTACCAGTCATATTCATACAAGGGCTCGCGTATTCTAAACAGGTACATGTGGACAGTCGAGTCTGGAGTGTCACAACGTTTCTGGGTGAATGCCTGCAAGGTGTTGCGTCCCGCGTGTGTTCCAATCTGTTTGAACGATTTCCTCAAACGGGCGTCCGTTCCGAGCCAATGACAAAGCAGGCTAATCACCACCACACAAAAACAAACTAGCAAAACGGTCAAAGTTCAGGGCACTCAAGTGGCACTGTGCTGGCCCAGCGCTTGCCAGCAGTGCTCATCATGGCCTAACTTGAGTGGCAAGTGACAAAGTGCAATAGCGAGAATCCGCGTGATTCAGCGGTTTGGTAGCCTCGATGTTCGACATTTCAAGAAACCGATTACAGAATAGCATTCCAGTTGTAGGCTTCGTGGCGACAGACACACAGTTAGGAGTTGGACCCTTCTGCTGACACATCGACACGGTCTCCACGAAATCAATGACTACGTGAAACACCCGTGACTCTCCGGAGTTGAAAGCGTCTAATAGTTGGTGCAGACGTTTAGCATTTTGAGTTTCCACGCTGCTATTCTAGTTCTCAGGAAGTTGGCAGTTTGGAATCGACCCCAATCACAGCTGAATGCCGCTGATAACCTCAAACAGGTTCCGTGACAAGCTGCCACGAATCCGACGTTGAACACTGCAATTCCTTCAAACAACTCATCAGTGTTTGGTGGCGAGGGGGGCTTCGAAAGAGTTACAAGATCATCCGACATGTCGCTTCAGGAGCAAATTCGTGTAGATTCCTCGGACACCCACAGCTTCGGCCTTAAAATGATTCTTTTTAAGGAGAAGCAATTGGTAAGGGGACATCTAATATCCCTACGAGTGGAATAGTCAGCGTTGAACAGATGACCCTTATTATGCACATCAGCAGAAACTCGTTCAACATGGGTCTACGCCAGGAATAAGGAAGATGGCGCAGGTCGTGCTGAGAAGTTTTGTTCAAACGCACAACCCAGTCACACATGGTTATATTGTCTTGACCTCCAAGTTAACACCAGCACGGTGTAAAAATTTCTTCGACAAATTCACAAATTCTAAACTTGTGGTAGTACTTGTTGAGAATCTGACAATTTGACTGGTTCTGAGTATTAAAAACACTAAGCCCCAAAACCCATGTTTACCTGACTTGAGGTAATTGCCGAACAGCCCTCGTAATCGACAAAACCATCATTGTGCAAGCGGTTATGCTGGTGCTCATGATAAGGGTATTAGGCCGTAAATATACAACTTCTCAGCACCTCGGGTCAAACGGCTGGCGCATCTGCCGACGCCTTAAGTACAAATTACCAAAAACGCAAAAACAAAATACCCACAGTTAATCAAACTATTTTTAGAACTGTGTTCGTTTAAATCACATAGAGCAAAGGGAGTGGGAGAGATTAACACTGACTACCTGCTTCACAAGATGACAAACAAGGAGGATCGGTTTGCTGTCAAACCGATCGATGCAAGTGGGCTAGCACCTCTGGGAATAACTGGGGGCCATATTTTTACTGCTGGCATTCGGATTGGTCCAAAATTCACAGCCCACATTTGTGACAACGAGGTGTCAAGGTCGATGGAGAGTGTACCGATTTTGCACTATGAAAATGATATTTTATGCATTTTTACTATTCCTGGTGGGCTTACGATTGGCTGAGGGTGTTTTTCTTGTGCAACAAAAAACAAAAACAGTGGAAGTGCTTTCGAATTAGGGGACTATGATGAGGTTATCCGCGAATTTCTGGTTTCAAGCAAGCATCCACGGAACAAAACCACTGAATAATTAGATTATCCAAATTCGAGTTTCTCCGCAAATTCTTAGTTACCTGACAGGTGACACAATGGCTCCCATTCTTCGGATGAACTGCTCATGAAATGCAACTAATTCTCGCCAATTTTGTGAGTTTGAACAGAGACGATATTCAGTGGACATAAACTCGGCTATTGCTGCAATACTAATTGTTACATTGGAAGGTTATCAAACTGTGGAAATGTTGTAGTAATGCCTCAGAAGGATGAAACCACCGTTCTAACTGAGAGACTAAACACGCAAATCTCACAAATAAGCCACCATCATTCGAAGTAAGCGACGAAAATGAAGGAATCGACGTCGAACTTAAAAGGAAGCCGCTGTGAAAACGTGGAGGATGAGAAAGCAAGTGAATTCAGGAGAGCAATAAATGCTAGCACTGAATACAATTCATTAGCCGCCAAATGCAAAATTTTGGAGACGGGTTCTAATCTACCGGTCGGACGAAATCCAGTAGCTAGACCCAGAGTTGCCTTCAATGCTCGGACACAACTTCGACAAGTGGCTCGTTTAACCACAGTCTTGGAGGACTAGCCGGCGCCTCGCACGTTTGCGTGGCTCCTTTTCAAGGCAAGAGGAGGTGAATTTGAGTTTTCCTAAACCCACACTGCGTGATAAGCACAGGAGATGTGAGCTCATGCCAACTTTAGGTGGATTAACTGCTCCAGATTCGACGTAGACAAACGCGCACACACGCACACACATTCACAAATGCGCACAAACTGGGTGATTGTGGAACACAGAGGCTTGCCTTTACAGAAAAAAGAGATGCTGCAAAATAAGGCAAAGAAAATACAACTTATAACTTCAATTGTCTAGCTGAGTGTTCGCGTCATTCAACATAAATGTATGTCTCGCTATAACTTTATGGGTCAAGTACAAACGGCAATTGTGTGAGCCTGGCTTTCTGGAAAGTTAGCTCGATCACGAACCCAGGGAAATCTTAGCGAGAAGGGTTACTTCTGTGGGTGAAGGACTATGACGTCATCATTTGACACAAGGTGAAATGTGATTGGTTTAATTAAACCCATGTTTGAGCAATCGATTTTACAGAGCGATGAAGTGATTTGCCTACAAACAAAACATTTACGTAGCTGGTTTCTAGCACTTCTGGGTTTCGTAATTGAGATTTATAACCTGGCACCCCTGTACGAAGCCTTTTGTTAGATCCGATTTTAACACGACGTGATCCAACCATTTAACGACAAAATTAGCGCATTTAAACAATTGGAAAAACGCTGAAACTCACTTTGCGTGATTTCTTCTTGTAAACAACAGCCTTTTCGACGTCGGTCTTTGCAGTTTCAATGTAGTCCTTAGCTTGATCCACGTTGTACTCGATCTTATCGATCGTTTCTTGCTGTTTAGGAAAAATAAAACGGCCGATTTCTATCAAGTTAAACTCTACTCCGATAACTTATTGATTATTCACAGAATGAAGAAGTTCATTTGCCCAATCAGAGTTCTTTGGCTCAGAACGACTACAAATAACACGGTGAGTGAGTTTCACTTTCACTAGGAAACTTGGAGACTATTTTCAACCGAACCCATGGACCAACTCATCGTGAATATTCTACACGAATGAAACACCCGATTTCTAAAGACACCTTGCAACTAGGCACCATTTGAATGTGGCTACATTGTGGATTAAGAATGCGTGTAATGTTATGTGGTTTTATCGGGTATTAATGAGTTTTATTATTGCTTTAAGGCGTGCAATTAAGCAGCGAGAATGTGTAACACAACCACTTCAAAATGAGGTGCGCCACTTTATTAATTCCGCCGATTTTCAGCGGTAAAATTAAAACTAGTATCAATTCGTATTCCTATAAATCGATTTAGATACGTTTAGAGCCTTGAACAGCTCCTAATCACACTGTTTAGGCAGAAACTGCCGACTTGGGAGCTTTGTGTAGTTAATATCACATCGAATTTGGCGATAAAATTAAAACCAGTATCATTTCGCAGTCTCATAACTCAATGTAGATAAGTTTCCAGCCCTGAAAAGTTCCTAAAGACGCTGTTTAGGCAGAAACCACCAAATTGGGGGCTTCGCGTAATTAACATCACATCGAATTTGGTAAAATTGTTTAAAAAAAGGCGTACCTGCGAGTCCACGAGGGTTGCCAGGTCTTGGAACATGTCGTGCAGCTCCTTGATGCTCTGCTCCAGCTTGATGATGTCTCGATGGCGAGCCTCGATTTCGGAGAGGGTCTGTCTAGCCGCCTGGGTGTCTGCCATGATCTGGGAGAAAGGCCAAAGTCCAGGAAGGATTACCAACACAGAAGATGCAATGCCCCACGCACACACACTCACACACACACACACTGGTGTGACGCCCGACATGGAAGTCCAAATTATTCGAAAATTTTCATCGGCGGATGTTAACCGCCCCATGTCTTAGAAATACAGAGCCATCGGTAATCAACATGGTCAATTATGCACCTGTTTTAACTAGAACGACCAAATCACGTCCGTTACCAATACCATTTTAAGGAACAAGATTTTGCACAGGAGGTGAAAGCAAAGAAAGGAGTTCATATTTGCCGCTCCCTAAAAACGTTTGTCTATGACATTTAATCCCATGCACATTTTCTCTGCTGTTGTAAGTGGCGTTTAGACAATTCCGACATCCAAGCCTTGGAGGTTATTTCGCAGAATTCTCACACTACTTAAAGCCGAGTCGGCGTTGAATTATTTCCTGAGTTTGTGTGAAAGGGTCCACAAGTTAGTGCAATGACAAGTTCTAATACCCACACTTCAGAGGGAATTTAAATTGTCTGGTTACAGTTCTTGTTCAGAGCACGATGTCGGCAAATTAGAACACATTTTAGGAGGCTCCGAGCTCCCAGAATGCGAAGGCGTTTGTGATTTCATGACGATTTTACGAAAGTCCGCAAAAATGTGTTCGGTGTTCGGATGTCGTCCTGCATCGAAACTCGGATGTTGATGGAACAGAAGGCTGTCCTCGTTTTCGTCTAAGATTTGGCACAAGGTGTTAGATTTCACATCCTGTGGTTACGCCATGCTCTGGAATGTCTCAGTGTGCCGACGCAATAATAGTTTCATTTTAAAAAAGGCGCTATCTCAAGTCGACCAAAACCTGTTTGGTTCGTGGTTCTAAGGCCACCGTCGCATTGGTTGCCTCCCAAAATATATTTACTTTATCGAAATGATGTGTTTTCAAACCGAGCTCACCAATTCCCTCGAATAGCTTTGATAATTCTGTAACTTACACTTTGGGTAAAAATTTGTGGATTTCCGGATTCCAGCATATCCTCCAGCTCCTCATTTGTTATGTGTCGATCAGCTAAAAATGAGAAGCAGGATTCCAATTTTTTTTTAAAAATTAATTTTTCAGTGGCAAGTTGGGTGCTTTTAAAAGAAAAGCCGCAAGGCGTGCAGGCGAATGACGTGGAAACAAAGGATCGCTAGTGGCATTAGGAATTGAAATCACCAAACTGACAGCTGCCCAATCAAACAGTTTTTAAACGGCATATCAATAATCCGTTGACAAAATTGGAACAAACTTGCCACACCGAACAAACACTTTTCGTATCTAGGATGCACATTGTGTGGTAATGTGGAGATTTAAGATTAAGTGCGACAAAGAAGTGCGCGTAAAATGCCTTTGTGAAGGTGCCAAAGCGCATTTTCCCATAGTCGGTGTCAAGCCAAATGCCGATGAGAATAAACCTGACAGGCAAACTTTTCATCGCATGTGAAAAACACTTGAAAAAAGGTGAAAGGGTGCTGGAGGCGTGCTAAGTGGCATCATTTTTGGATATTTTAAGAGAGAGGCTGTTATAAGCATAAGGGAGACCTTGTAACCAATGTAACCACGTGACCTCCTAAAATGCCATACTAAAAGTAGGCTTCTAAAGGCTACATGGAGATTGAGGGTGTCTTCGTTAGCTGACAATTAAGGACCAAGTAGAGTGATACAGAGACGTGCAGCTGCGGTTTACAACGAGGCTACCCATGCAATTCTTACCAATCATGAGTTGTCTTTTGAGATAGGCTTTAGATCGAGCCACGTAGCTCGACTGCCAGACATTATAGTCCTTTATTTGATCGGCCAGAGCAATCGAGAGGTACTGCATCTGATCAAAGGTGCAAAACGGTAAATGGCTGATTGACACAGACACAGCCAACGTGTACATATTTGCGTCTATTTCGAGTTTTCTAAATTCATTTAGGGCCTCATTTATTGATTGATTAATTGATTGATTGTTAGGTCAAAACAGAAACACGCAAGCGCATGAGGTTAGAGTAAGCGCTGAAGCTCATGGCACACGGGCGCCCTACCGATAGCCATTTGGCGAAGAATACGCGTCTTGTTAGCATCGCGGTAATCTGTCTGGGCTTTATTGTACTCCTGCATTACTGACACAAACCGTCGACCTATGGTTTGGTGCTAGAGGCAAAAGAAATGATACAGCACTTTACGCAGCAAGTCAAGACAACGGCTACGCCAATGGACACTTACTTGAGATCGCTTAATCCGGAGTTCGGCCATATCTCCCCCAGCCTTTTCTTCTTGCTGAATTGACAGTTCAAGTTCTACAGTTAAAAGTCTCTTGCGTGAAAGTGGAAAATTATGATTTTGGGGCTAAGTTTATCGAAAATTATTTACGTTTAAGAGAAGATCGAACACCACCTGCTCGCCGCTTAATTTCGGACATAATGTCTTCCACTCGTGCCTTGGTCTCTGAAGAGAAACACGTTTGTAAAACAAGTATTAAGCCACTGAGAGGACCGATTTACAAATATGTTAACAGAAGAAACTACAATTCGTAGTTCACTTAAAGCCCAACTTGTGTAAGAGCAAGAGCTTAATAGATAATGAATTTTGCACTTTTTAAGCTTCAGAGTTAAAAAAAGACACAGCACATTAGGTTAAGTAATTAACACTGCACAGTAAAAAAAATTGCATAACCAAATTTTTTGGGCATCGAAATAGATCACGCATATTTTTTTGTGTTCCTCGCATATTACGGGGTCCTTTGTGATAAGTAAAATAAGTGATGGATAGATGACAAGGAATCATTGGATGCGCTTACGCATACAATCAAGCACATTTTCTTGCGGAACCTACTACAAGATGGTAACAAGCCACCATGGCAGGGCAGCAGTAGATTATCAGTTTTAACCTGCAAAAAAATACCTAAATAAATGCTCAAATTCGAGGATAGGATAGAGGGTTCACATCGATCACAATTTTATTGTCATAAATGTAATAAACATTCAAAGACAGATTTCTAACTCAATAAATTGCATGCAAAATGAATAAAACTAATCGAACAAAGCTCTTTGGAGCCAAAGTTATAAAATATTTTCAAATAAAATACGAGTAAAATTATAAAAAGAAGGTCATGGGCAACTGGTCATAGGTAGGGGAATATTTTATGTCATGCAGTGTCAACACAAAAAATAGGGAAGCATATTAGCAAAAAATAAAAAAATGATCAAAGGACGGATGTGATAAAGATTTTACAATTGTTGGAAAAATCATGTTATAAAGAAGGTGAAAATTTTCCAAAAAGCACTCACTATCATCCTTGTTGGGTGCTGCTAAAATCTCACTATGCCTTTGTTTGATTTCCGCCACAAGCGCGGCAATCTTATCCACTTCGCTGCGTAAATTCTCAACCAGATTGAAAAATCCAGACATGTAACTGTTGTCGACAATATTTTCATTCGATTCATAATTGCTGGTATTACCATTTTCCTAAGACAAATTAGCATAATCGTTGAAAAACTTTTTTGAGAATCGCCAAAAGATCCGTTGGCATTATTGGCTTGGAACGGAAGAGCCAGCAACCTGTTTCCGCGTGAAATGCCTCAGGCTTAACAGACTCAAGTTGTGACCTTGAACGATTTATTTATAATCATATTGGTAGGAAGGTTCGAGTTCGTTTTTCCATTACATTACAACTTATTACCTAGAAACATTCAATTAATCGTCAATTAAGTAATTTCGGCTAAAAGCATGATACATAATAGTCTGCAAATGTCTCCTTTTTTTAATTTTTTGGCCATAGGCCTTTGAATGTTATCTTGATAATTTTCAAAGTTATGCATTTATTTTAATAAATACACCTAAATAGGTCAACGTCAGCTTGATTTCATGAAATTGTCCATTTTAATTTTTCAGTTAATGAGGCGCATTTTCGAAATGGTTTTTCATCAGCTGATTAGTGTGCACAGTTGTATGGTGAAATTTATTCTCATGTTTTTAGTTAAGATTGACGGTTTGCAAACTGATACTTTTAAACTATCCAGCCAATGTGCGCATTGTGTTCAAGGTTCGTTTTTATCCTTCGTAAATCCTGTTTAGGCTTAATAGTTTTAAATGAGAGAAACAATGATGGGTATTGCACACTTTTTACATTTATCAGAGACTGAAGAAAGTTAAGTTGCAATTCTCTTATTTTGCCGGCTAAACTTTTTGGTGGATTGACTCACTTGACGTTGACAGGCAAAGACAATGGGTGTGTCGTTGTTAATGAGCATGTAAAGTAATTTAGCATTTGCTTACTTCTCTGGTAGGTAACGAACCTCGAATTCTCCTTCCGAATACGTTTTACTTCAGTTAAAGACATTAGCTTTAATCCAATTTACAAAATTGTAAGTATTTGCCCTTTTTTAATGCGTCAGGTCCTCTTTTTGTACATTGACTGCGTCGTTACAATTCCACTAAGTGTATTTACCCTCGTTATTGGAGATCTTCTGAATGGAAAAGGTATCTTTGGAATTAAACTCTTTAACCTAACCGTTTGTTATGCTCACAAGCTTTTCCTTTTAGATATTACAAATTTGACTGTTGATTTGCCCATTGTTGTTCACTATAACCCGAACAGCGAAAGCGAAGTTTCTGCGGTGCAATGCATAGGTTTGTAGTATCAACTGTCGCTGTTCTTTATAGTAATGTTTTTACCTATTTAGATAAACCGCTCTGTGAATTTGACATGCTTGTTGAGAATTCCGTTTCTTTAAGTCCAGAGGAAAATTTTTCGCCGCCTCATCATGCAGTACACTTCGCTGTAGTAGCCAAAAATCCCTATATATCGTTTTTCGAGAGCAATTCAAAAGTAAATATTGGTTTTTTTGCCCTTACTGTGTTCGCATATAGAAAAGTTTGTCTAGTATGCCCGAGGAATATCATGTGATCAAGGAACGCGTTAAGGACATCGCTCACCGTTTGCGAGGGTGAGTGCACAATCGTCATGTCCACTTCATTTGTAGACGGTTTAAGCCATACTGGATGGATTCTGAGAGCGGACCCTGCTATGTCTGGCCTGGGAATCCCAACTGGACTCTAAAGAAAATTTACGGTCTCGCAGATACCACACGGACGGCCTTGCCGGCTACCTTCTCCGTCTCCTCCGATCTCAAACTTGCGGCTATAACGGACAATCAGTGCAGAGTCACTTTAATAGATCTCCACAAGGGAATTGCCCTGCGTTTTTGGAAAGGTATCCCTCTGTCTACTCACACCCAGCTCTCTTGTAGGCTGCAAGGAGGCTCAGACATGTTTCGTCGATGCTGATGAGGGCTTTGCACCCGCCGGTCGATTGCCTCGACGCGGCAGTTTCATGCTAATGTACTTGCCATATTCAAACACGCTGGAACTCTGGTCGTTGATCCACGGACCACTACTGAAATCGTGGTCAATTGATGGGCCCTTGCGGTTTGTACCCTCACTCGCGAAATCCCTGTGCACTTATTTAAAACGGTACCATCATGTGACCTCATAATTTTTGTAGATTTAGCGTCCTTGCTATCATCGGAAACGATAATCTACTTGGACTAAAATTTAGCTTAGATTTATGGTTTCCACATACCAAAGAAGCAAGTGATTTCAAAAGATTTGCAAGTTTGCGAAATTGGATTAACTCAAAAGCTTTTAAATCCTGTTTGCATTCAGGTAATGTAAATAGATTCCCCCAAATGTTATTTCCTAGACCAAATCAATACAGTTGCTAGACTGGAAAACGAATTTCAGGGATTTTCGTTACCCGATTGGTTTTTGAAAGCCTTGTGGATTGTCCTAACATCCAAATCATCCGGCCTGTTGGACTGGATTTCACAGAAACTAGCTAACAAAGGTATGGACGCGTGCCTTTACTTAAAACGCCTTCACAGATCTGCTGGGTACCTTAACTCTTTCAGAATCTCAGAAGTGCGCGTTTCAAAAGCATTTAAATGTCGTCCGAAGTCTTATTGCATTTTACCAAAGTCTTTCTGAGGCCTACGAAAGGCAGAGTTTGCAAGGCGCGGCACCCACGCCGGATTCGACAAACGCCTTTATCACTGTAAGCCCCTTTTACCAGAACTGATCCTCCTAACCATTCCTGTGTGTTAATGCTGGTGCTTTTAATGGCTTGTAGCCCGTCGCTAGCCTCTTCCGTCAGTGTGTGAAAGCGTCCGAGTTGCCAAAACTACTGCCGCCGTCGGTGTTTTTCCGAGCGGCTGCTCATACGCGGCTGTTCAGACCGGCTGCCACAAGGGGTTCTCAGGCGTCTAAAGGGCAATCATACCACAAGTGCGCCGCCTACGAAGCAATTCTAGGTATGTGTTTCCTCGTTTTTACAATTTGACCCAGTTCCCAAGCCTATTCGGGGCAATTGGTGATCCTGACGTGATTGGGGTCAGAGATGAAACCCGATTAAGCTAGACAGGAGTCGAGTAATGAATCCAGACTGGTGCTTGTAAGTGCGGAGGGTGAAAGCGAGGTTGAACAACTAGGCGGAAACCCGACCTAGAGTCTAGCACGGTTAATGATCTACGATCGCACGCTGAAACTTCTAAGAGGGCGGAAGGGCTTGGAGATTGACTTTTCTACCAATTGTCGTAGACCCCGGCATGTGGTCTCCAACCGCTCTGAGGCTGCTGTTTCGGGGTTAGCCCGTTTACACAGGTGACGGCGAAGGCAAGAAGACCAGAAATGGCAAAGACATAATCGTTTACTCGACAACTCAACCAATTTGTTGGTCGGTGTGGCGTTAGTGGACGTTAATTAGCACGATTTACGACATTATGGTGACCAGTGGCCAAACCTTTTCGTAGGTGTATCAACTTAGTTGCATTGTTATTGTTTACGAGGTCGTAGTAGACGCTCACGAGGGAATGTACGAACAGGTAAATACTCTTTCGTGTCCATGTGGACTACTGGGACGGATTATCAGATAGGGCGTGACTTATGAAGCGGTCTGATTCCACTGCAAGCCCTTCAATGCATCACTCTTCCCTGTTTTCAGGTCGAGCCATCTTCGCACCCTACTTCCAGGGAACAGTGCCTGCCAAGTCCTTCCTCCTCTTGATTGACACTGCGCCGATACCCTTCGATTACCTTCTAGTAGGCAGTCAATTTGTCCTCACGCCAAAAACCACTCTATTTACTTAAAGGTTTTAGCCTCAAGGTATTTGGTGACGATCCGGCCAATCGCAGATTTGCTTCAGATCACACAGCTAACCGAGGTACTTTATAAACGACATCCACGGAAGCTGGCTCTTGTGTTTGTCGAACTTTACCAGATAATCCTGTCGTCACGCAACTATGCCTGTGGTCTCGCAATCTGCTCTGCGCTGATTGGTGCAGCGGAAGAGCCGAGTCTTCACTCGCAGGTGTGTTTTAAATTCCTCTGCTTGTTTCCCGGACGCAATTCGTGAGTCCCGGCTGGTATTTTCAACAATTCGGTTTGTCTGTTTCTCGTTCTTGTGCACATAAGCGTGTGTTTGTGAAACCCGAGTGCGGTCTGTTTAGGCTAGCAGTGATGTGGACGACGATGTGGACACTTCACCCGTCACAAGTCCATTACAAGCTAGCCGCGGCGACCTTCAACTACGCGCTGAGCATCTACAAGACATGGTAGTCTTCCATCACTGCCTCACTGCCTTCCGACAATCCTACAGCCCCCCCTCGTGGAATGCCCGGGCGTGCAGCGTGAGGCGTATTCTTCAAAGCGGTCCTGGTGAGTTCGCCGCAACGCCACGTTCGTCGCTAAATCGGGGCATTTGGTGGTGTATGCGTCTTGATTTGCCTTCACTGTAGACTACTTCACCAACGAATTCGCCCGACATCTGGCGCCATCTCGTCTGAAACCGAGCGAACTGGTCGACATCTACCGGTATTTCGGCGGACGGAACTCGCCGCCTTGCGAAAAAGAGTTTGCTGGTATGCTTTGTTGCCGCAGTCTTGTCGTCTTAACGCTTCGAGGGGTCACTAATTCGTGCACAGTTGAAGGTGTAGCATGTGCATCTGGACTGATTAATCGTCAACACATCAGCCAACAATATCTCGTATCGTTCATGTCTTGGAAACCCGTTCTTCATAGGTTTTTACTTAAAGGCTTACAGCCGTCTGTTTCACCGCCACAAAGGCAACAGCTGTGGAACTGTGCCCTTCCACATTTAGCACCAGGTCCGATTTAAACTAGATGCCAGTTAATGTTTGATTTTGTAAGTCTTTATTTTTGTGAAATCGTGGCTTCATTGTTTTGGCTAATCACACCCGACAAGACAATCGGAGGCGTCGAATAAACTTATTTGGTCTCCTCGAAAATCACCATGACTTCTTTGGTTTTAAAGAGCAATTTTAGTGCTGCGATGCGCAGGTTGATTTGAGATTCGTCGAACCGAATGAAAGCGTCCAGTTGCCATATATGCGTATTCATGCTCCGCTATTTTTCGATCATCTTTGGTGTGTTAATTTCTAGGAAAATTTGTTAAATTTTGGTAAGCACAAGCTTATCTCTGTCCGTTACTCGACGCAATCTGTCCGGAACAATTTCAATGATCTAAGAAGGAATCTTCAAACTCGCGAAACCATTTTCTACTGCATCGAGAGACGAGGTGTTATGTGGTTGTTGTGTGGATGGTCGCTAGGCATAGATTGTTTGAACGCAGCACTGAATTCTTTGTAACTTGTGTGTGGTGATTTATGAAGACATGCACCGTCCTTAGATGTTAACACGTAGACGGTTAATTAAATCACTTATCGACTGAGAAACCGATGCCATGATGTGTAGAAATTTGGCCCTGTCGAGTCAACCATTACATGGCCACACCAAAGCGATTGTTGTCTTCTCCTTTCTTTACATGTAGCAGAGGGTTAATTTCACTAAATGTTGGACTCCGCTGTGTCTAGGATGTCGTGGAATGGAGCAGTTTCCCGATTATCGACTTTCAGTATATCAGGATCAACTCCGAGAAACACGTTTTAGCTAAAAATCCGGTTTCTGTGTGCGTAAATCAAGCCCCATCGGTTAGTGTTGAGGGCTCAAAATCCTAATTTGTAATTGGCAAAAATATCATCAACTGACCTGCGGGACACGTAATGTCTCATCGCATGGGCTGAGTTCCGCCTATTTTCTGATTGGATCAAGGCTGGCCAATAAAAATAGCAGGCTTCTTTTGCGCTTTAGATCACTTCCACGCGATGTGCCAGCGTTTGCCGCTTTCGTTCGAGGTGAATCGGGTTCTGGTGTGCGCCGCGTGGCGATTGGTCCGGCAATTAGCCTCCCCCTGGGTAAGAATAATACAAAGTGTTGCTATGTCGTGTTTCAAATCTTGTTTGTTAAATCCTAGGTTACCGTTAACCCTTCGCGAGTCGTATGTGGAGTATTGAATAGCTTCACAAGTCATTCCTGTTGTAAACAATACCCTACCACGGGCTATGGATGTATGTAGATGTCGTCAAATTGGACACCAGCGATATCGCAAAGCTCCGCACATTACAAATTGCCATCGCTTAATTGATTTGGAGCGTGTTCTTTGTTATATAAAGCCTCAAATCGTTCATTTTGCCGTCCATATTTGGCGATTAAGTATCCGTTTTTGTGTTTTACATTATTTCTGGTCGGCTCCCATCCACCCATTGCCCAGAAACCGCTAAAGGTGTCCACAAGTTAGCACATTCCTTGATTTTAAATTGCAGACACGCCTCGGTCGAGCAGAGAAATTCTCGCACCTGAGTCGTGTGGCAGACTTCCTGAGCAACACCTCAAATGCAGGCCACGGATTGGCTTTTGTTGTCGCGTCGCAGTGCCACGAGTGCCCCCTGCCTCAACTTCTCAAGCAGCACTCGACGTCGCTTCAGTCCAATGACTTCACCAAGGTCAGTTATTTCTCATTGGCTCACGCACTGCTACACCGCTGTTCGCTGCCCAATGAGTAATAGTTTGTACGGCGGGAAATATAACTAAACGAAGGCCCACTTCTGTATGACTGTCTGTCTATCCGCAAACTGGAAAAATAAACCACATTTTTCGGCATAATTTGTCACATTCGCCAACCAGTAAAGTGTTTGAGCACGATACAAATTCTGCGGACTTTTTTTTTACTTTTAGCCGGTGAACGACGCTGCTTTACTTCAAGAAGCAATGAGTCTGTGTCAATTCTTCAAAGAATTCCGACAGGTAAGCACTCAGAACCGGTGCAGGCGACTCATTTTGGCTGCTTCCTGGCCATCACGGCGATTAGTTTTTTTTATCCAGAAAAAAAATGACTGGCTTTGTTATCTCATGCTCCCGAATAACATTTTTGAAATGTTTTTACCACAGTTTATTAAAAAAAACAGATCACAAACAAGTCCGAGGTACTCAAATCAGACCGGAGTTTAATGAGTGGATGAGATTTCTAAGCAGCGTTTTCTAATGCCTCCTCGCCTTCCTTACGTTTTGCCGTTACGGATATGAGTGGTTATTGAAATGGCGGTGCATAGTGTTTAGTTTATTTCGAACGTGCCGTTTTGTTCTAAGGTGTCCATCGCTGCCAACGAAGGGAACCTCTTGCTTCGTGACGAGCGTTGGGACTCGAGGCAGCGACTCGTGTGCCCAGGTGGTGAGCTCCAGGAATCCAAAGAGACACGTCCGCGGACCGACTCCGCGTTCCCTCTCGACAAAGTCGCTGCCGGCGACGGCGACGCGGGGCCACCGTTTCACGCCCTTGACGCGTGGTTCCAGTTCTCGGTGATTCACGCAGCTATTCTGGCCCTCGGCTTGCCCGACGATGAGCCTGCTAGATGTCCTGTGCATCTCCTAAGTGCCGCGGTGCGATCATTGTTCTCGTTGCATCTCAGTTGTCATTCTAAGTGCAAACTAGTGTGTAAATCATCGTATAACGTAGCTTTTAGGGCGAACGCACGCGGGGTGCTACCAGGTGGGCGCGAAGATTCGATTTGGCGCCCGGTAAACGGGCCAGCTCAGTAAAACAACAGGCGGCAAGTAGCTGCAAGCTCCATAGATGCAGCTCTGTGGCAGCATGTTTTCCTTTTCTGAAGCAAATTCATCCTAATTTAACCAGAAATTGGGTTTAGTCATAACGTCCTCACTATCCTTAAATCAAACTTTCTTAAATATGTGATATTCGCAGCAATGGGAAGATTGCAACGGCCTCCATCTTCCCGTCTGGACCCACTCCGTGCACAACGCAAATCAGAAGTCACCGCCAATGAGTTTAAAACAACGACGACGCGCGTTCCTCGATTGGCTACTGCGTGGCCTCGCGGGAAATGCGAATTTGCGCACCGAATACCCCGCATTCTTGTCGTCCGCGTTCAGTCTCGCGTCCGCCTGGGATCTGCCCACCTCCGCTGCTCGGTTGTTCTACGTCGTCTCGCTCTACGAAAATTGGGCAGATCGAGACGCTGAAGAGGTCGCTTGTATTTTGACAGTAGTATGATTAGAGAACGGAACTGGTCCAATGACACATGCATTTTTATATTATTTTAGAGCCGTTCGATGGTTAGGGACAGTTATACGCTCGCAAACAGTCTCTTCTACGTTTTGGCTGCACGTATTTGTGAAATTGACAAGCAAATGAGCGGCCGCATTCTCGTCGACGCCTCAGAAAATCTGGCTGTTTTTCTGAGCTGCCTGGTAACATTTTTTTATCAAAATATACCCACAACTATTTCAAAATGGTGTAAGATGCGTTTCGCTTGTTTGCAGAAGTCTGATGCGTCTCTGACGGGGTCGCAGCCATCGTTTGTTGAACAAACTCAAAACGCGTGGAAATTGATTGATTTTTTGATCGAGCACCTCCCTGTGGAATCAAATCAGCGCGTCTTTACCTTGGAATTGCGAGATCTTCTTCAAGAAGCTTTACAGCACTAATTCCACTTCACTTTCTTACATCTCGGCCTTTCCAACAAGTACAGACCTTATTATCTTCTTGGATATTCTAAATACCAGATTTTCTCGGTAAATTTAAGCGCGATTACTGACAGCAGTCTTATCTGTCTTCCACCTATCAATAAGTACATAAATTTCAGGATAAATGTTACTTTAAAAATGAGTGGATGGGAAATTGTGTTCATAGTTGTTTGTGGTGCCTGCAACAATACATTTATACTGCCTGACACAAGAAATTCAAAACTGATGCAAAGGGTCAAGTATTTTTAAAAAAAATTAACATTGTGCCAAAATTCGTATTCAATGTTGCAGTTGCAGCACTTTGCTTTTGTTTTCTTTGTAGCAAAGTGTTTTCACCGTTCCTGGTTTGAAAATACAAACAGGTATTTGGGACCCAAAATTTTATCTTAGAAATCAATGCAATTAGGTTGATGAGCTTAAAAACATTCATTACGTCATTAAAAGAAAATCAATTTATCAGTAATCGAACTTGGTGCATAGGGACTTGGGGGTAACGAGATGTTTTTTGAAGATGAAATAAATGGATACACGAGTCGACCTTGGGTGAGTTGAAAGGAGTGGCTACATATGTCCTGGCCATGCACTATAACCTGGTAAGTAACGCGCTGACAGACAGACGAAACGAGAGGCGAAACACATGACGAAGTAAATGTAATCGCAGGAGAATGCAGCGGGCAAATTTCGCATTGCAAGGGAGTACGTGGATCTAGAGTAATGCGAGATACACTTTGAATATATAAAATAAAGCATTATGTATGCATTAAAAACATCAACAAAGTTAAGCAGAAATGCGAGTATTTGGATATAGATCTGAAATTATTTCACTATTTTAAGAATAACACTCAGCATATTTAAATGCGTATGGTCCCAAAATACTTAGAACTGCAAATTTTTTTTTCATATCATCAACTGTGACCATTATTGTTAAATGAAATTATTACTTAAATAAAAATGATTCTTTATTTCAACGATAAATGTGAAATCATTGGTAGAACAATAGGATAAATTCCAGTAAATTCACAGGACAAATCAATAGAACCTTAATGGGTACAAGATAGCAATATAGTAATAATTCTGAGTGCAAGCTTTTTTGCATACATTTTTGAAGTACTAGTGCGCTTGTTAAATTCTGACGAATAAAACACTATATTAGAAACTTCCAGCATTATCTGCGTCTTAAAGCCAACAAAATGCATTTATCCTTAAAAAACACATTAAAATAGCGCATAAATTTTTAAAATTTGTGCCTTACTTATAAATTTGTCTAAACAATTTAGTTTTAATCTTGTTTTACTACGTTTCGGTAGCGGCGCGTGTCCTATTTCGTCACCTTCACTGCATTTCGCATTTAAATTAAAAATGTATCGTCTTAATCCCGTTGTTAATGAGTCCTATTCTGACATCTCCCATACGGACAGTATGTACAGGTGCACTTTGCCTAGTCAGCCATCTTCAACCGAGGGAACAGCCAGTGAGCCAGCAGGTGCTTGTTCTCTCAACTCGCTTGATAAATTTATCGTAAACGAATCAGGAGCCAGATCAAAACTTGGTCAGGCCATACAAGCCCGCAAAAAAGAACAGAACAAACCTAGTAGTGCTGCGGACAATATTTCGTGTAACACCACTTTCAAGACCCCCCAATCAAAGCCTGGCAACGAAATGTTACTCGACAGGTATATCATCAGAAAAACAGCTCCAGTTTCTAAACTCGGCAAACACCTTCAATCTCAAAAGGAAGGTCCAAAAGAGTCACCAGAAGATTTACGGCTTAAGCACCGACTTGAGGAACTTGAACAGCGCCTTGATGCCTTCCTTGTTCCCATGGGCCTTGTTGAATCCAGCCCACATGTCGCACCTTTTGTGTTCTCCGAGGGTGATGGTACAAACACTTCGACTGGTCCATCGCAAAATCCCGCTCGCAGCGCCGAGCACTCTGTGTTAGTCTCCTCAACTGGTCGCTCTCAACCAAATCATTGTGCTGTTTCAAGCCCCATTGATCTCGCCATCCATTGTGATCCCAAATCTCCACCCTTTGCCATCCTTCTTTACAGCAAATTGTTGCAGTTAGCTGGCCGAAGCATTTCTCTTCGGTTTTATCGACATTCTTCTCTTGAATCGGTTCCAAAACATTTGTCCGAAATCGAGAATTTCTTCGTTGGTCCCGAACGTTCTTTATCTTCAGAGGTGATCCTCTCAGTCATTTGGAGAACCTGTCCGTTCAATTGCATGGCCATTTCTAATCCATTCACCGATCTCCCGCTCTATGGCGAGTCCACAGTTTTAATGTCCCTCGCACGCAATACTTGCAATTTCTCTAAATCTCTTGATCTCCTGTCAAAAATTGACCAAGATATCTCAAGTGGAAATGAAAGCCTGCAAAGTGAGTGCATTAAGGCAGTTGCGAGTTCATCTGGTGAAACCTTTTCCGTGCCTGAAATATCGCTCTTTGTTTCCTGTGTGCAAGCAGGCCTGATCCCAATGCTTCAGAAAACCGCCAAAGCGTGGTTTGAAAAATGCATGTCGGATAAAAACTTTGCTTCTACCAAAAGGCTTATTCAGCTTTTCCATTGAGTTGTTAATTATAAACTAAGTTGAGGTTGTCGTTCTCTCTTTTAAATACGGGAATGTTTTTAGTGGGGGAGGATGCGTTGTAAATGTTACGATGTTACGTGAATAACGGTCTTGAATGTATCAGATATCCGATAGTTTGTCGGAATCGTAGAAACGGCTAGTTCCAAGGTAGTTTATGTGAAATAACAGGCGTAGAAGGCTTGGCTTTTGTTGACACGACGCGATAATGGAGGTCTGTTTGTCTTGGGGAGGCAGTCGTTCAATTGGCGCAATGTCCAGTCATGGGCTGTGTTGCTTACTCATCAAGTTATCGCGCCAAACAAGTTGACTAGCCGAGGTGTTATCAACTACCTCGAGTTACTTGCAGTGTTCTGTGTCGACGTGTACCCAGATTGAGGAGCCATAAGAGCCAATGAGAGGCCGTGGAAAGTCGGGAATCTAGAAATTCATTCAAAGGTAGAAACTCAGAATTGTCGTGTTGTCTAATTGTTGTATGCTCCGAATGTTATTCCTCCATTATGGGATTTCGATCAGTCATTTGAGACCGTTCTTTTGAATCCACTTTGCCGAATTAAGCTCGAATGGGGTAGATATAATCTCCAAATTCTGCGCTCCCTGGTGCCAAAAGAGTTGAACGTCTTACGTGAGTCGTGCGTTGTCTGAGGTCAGGTCACCAGTTTTGGGATGGTGTTTTGCATTAAATTTTCAGGTTACTTGTCTAAAACTCAATTTAAAGGTATTTGGAGATTAAAAAGTTGCAGAATGTCCCTAAACATTTTCTGGACAAGCAGGTTATCCCGTAAACTTGGACTTCATGTGTGATGTCCATAAGAGGATTAACTCTGGATGATGCGAAATAAAACGTAATGGGTTCGACGATGAACACGACAAGTGCCGTCCTACACATTTCCTGATTTCAAATCTCTAGTCGAGTTATTGAACTTCTTATTGCTGTAGATCTTGAGTCACGCAACACAAGTCCAAGGATACAGCATTCCATCTCAACAGCATGCTGTCACCACCAACTTCACGTCTGCCGATTTAGTGAAGTCCATCTTGGTCCTGTCCATTCCTCTCAATGTCGTCACGTAGCCAGTTCTGACAAGACGAAATTGGCCCCACCTTATAATTTGTGAAACGGCTCTGAATACTTTCTAGCTGGCTGATTCTCTTTTGCGTTCAGTTGTGGCATGCGGAGTTTTCTCCCCCCAAATTCCAGCATTTGCCTTGTTTACGCTGCTGAAGGCACGATGATTTTCAAGGTCGGAGTTTAGCCACAAATGCCTTCCTACGACATGCTATATACGCGACCTAGAGATCCTTGAACTATGAATCTTCGTAATCCTAGTTTTTGTGAAACTACTGACCGTCTTGATCCTTTTTTTAACCTTACCACTCTCCCAATTGTACCTTTTTATGGCCTGCCGTGCCTAACCCTAATGGGGCAATGTTGGAAAGAATTTGTTTCTAAAAGTGTATAGGACGATAAAACTCATTTCGAAGTGTAATGGAGTTCTTTGTTTTATTAGCCAATAAAATGATGTCAATTTCGGAGGGCATTCTGTGCAGTATTAGCCCACCGTGCCAACATTTTGGTGTCAAATTAAGGTCCTGTTAGTTAAAGCGTGCTTTTTTCAACACAACTGACGATTAATATTAAGTTGCAGTAGCATAAGGACGTTCCCAGGAATGAATCAGCGTTCATTTGTTCGACGTGTTCAAACGTCAACGTCTGAGGACGTTCAGGGGTGTTTTTGTGGTGTAATCCCATGGACCGCACGTGCCATCGTTTAAATTACCCGCGAAAATTTGGAATTTCTGAATATAAGCAGTCATTTGGACGCTGAGTAATGTCCCAACACTTTGACCTGTCTGTACACTTAGCACAAAAACACACACACGTACAATCACGAGATGGCACAGTTGGCATTAACGCTAGGAAATGTGGAAATGTGTTTCTGGCGATATTCCCAATTGCAATTGGTGGACGCTTTATTGCGTCTAACCTGGTCATAGCCGAACCGATATAACTGAAACGCGCCTATCCAGCGGGGACACAAATAGGGAGATGACTGTTAGCCCGTCCCTCTTAGATAGCCACACCATCATGGTTACCTACCAGGCACACGGTACAAGAATAGCTGGAAGAACCGGGTGTATTCCCTACTACCGCATGCGAACTCAGAGGGCTAGAGCTTAGGGAGAGTTGGAGTGGGGAAAGGGATGGCCGCGAGGAGGGTCAGCGTTGCCCTCGGACTCACGGGCGTGCCTTGAGGAAGGCGAGAGTGCGGGAAGGGATAGGAGGAATTGCGTGGGTCGAATGGCGCGCGTCACGGAGCCCCCCCCCCTGTCGAGTTGGCGGCAACAACGAATCTTTGTGAGTTTCGACCTATGCCGCAGAGAGCAAGTAAGATATTGCAGCGAAATAAAACGGTCATATTTTTACCGTGTTACTACGGAAACGCGAGTTATGAAAGTAGTGCAAAAACAACATAAAAGCCTCCTTTTATTGTCATCTGAAGGTGCCGAAGTGGAGATTTCATGTGGTTTTTGCACCCGAAAATTTGATTGTTGCCCTCTAGGTGTCAAAGGCTTAATCGATTTCGAAATATTTCTCCATTCTATCAGTAATATGCAAACGCCTGAATGTTCTTGCACTTAATTGAATAGTGAACACGTTTTTTTTAATAACTTGGCTTTCGTCTGTCGTGACATCTGTCGTGCCTATTCCAACACAAAGAATCCAAGAATTCGGAAATGGTTTGCAAGTTTTCTTGATTGTGGTTTGCGCACAAAATTTGTCACGATGAAACAAGCTCGACTAAGGTGACATTAGTGACATTGTCAGGCACACCTTCGGGTGTTAACTTGACAAAGCAGCTGTAGGATGCTCGCACCAGCAAACCACATTGACCTTTTGGAATAATTCGTCTAGTTTATGAGGCAGGGGTTGAGTCAGCCTTACTTGTAACCACTTTTAACATTTTTGATGGAACTCAGTGAGACGGAGACTAGGAGCTGTCGAGACTGTCGACTGATGCAAATGAAAGCTGTGATAACCATTTGCCTACACAATTATTGCTTAATTTCTAAAGTCTCTGGTTTGCAACACCGATCCGCTAACAACGCCCCTCTATCAACCCTCAATCACAAGTTTGCTACCCTCAGTTTAGGCTTCAAAGGACAATTTCCACTTTTGTTTGCCTTCGTTGACTTCGTAGATGGTGTCGATAAATCGACTCACAGTTTGGTCGCCTTGTCCATGTCTTTCACTTCAAGCTCAAGCAACATCGCTTGAACCATTATTGACTGAGTTCCAGGAAGCCGTCAGGCGCCCCAGACACCCACTGAACCCTCCACATTGTCCAGAAAGGTCTGTCGACAACAACGTCTTCCAACAACCTCGGGGTATCTGAATTTTCCAGGTACAGTCGATTGTGCGAAGAATACCAAGCCGATGTCCCTGATCAGTGCCTTGTCACTGAAATTTGGGACCCTTCATTGAAGTTTTACAAAACTTCACAGGCGTCAATATTTCACACGATTCCTTTATGTACTTGAGAATACCTTCCGGGCCAACTTCTGCCTGATTTTTATATCACAATTGGGACATTCTAATCGCCATTATCAGATTCCCAATTGAACTTAGACCGTTGTAATGCTTATGGGCACAGCGCCACATTGATTTATAGAATCTCGAATCAACCTCTACATGAATTACATTTTGCATACAGATTCAATTCTGCTGTTTGCTGTTCGGAAATCTGACGAACTGAGTCCAAACGGTTTTGTAAGTGGTCGAAGACGCAAAAGCGAATGTACTGAATCTCGGCTGTAGGCGGTAATACAACTGGAGTATGATAGACACCACGTTATCGTTAAAACCGTCGACGGGAAATCCTGTCGGTGAACACTCGCACCATCTGCTAGAACGACCAGATTCCAGTAGTTTTAACCGATCGCTAAGTCCAGGTATGTGTCGTCATTTGGCGCGCAGTCCAGCAAAGTCCACCGCGGCCAAATTTCTGCCGCACTCGAATTTTGAACGTCAGTTTAGTTGGACTACCTTCACAGACTCGCGAATTCACCCCTCGCTGGATCGATTTAAACGTCATTAGAGGGGAATTTTTATTAGAGACAGATCAAGTGTTTACTGACTCATTCCCAAATCTCCGTCAGCTTCATGGACTTGAGCCTTCTGTGTCCACTAGTTCAGGATGCGTCCTTTAATGCCTTGTGTTACAACTGATGGAAGACACTTGGATGTTGTCTCCGCTGGCAATAGCGATGCTTCGACTTCTGGTCGACCTCTGTTAACCCTGTCAGATTTATCGATCTGGTACATTGAACTTCGTGGAGATTATTCACTTTGTTTTAATCGACTTCAGTCGAGCGTCGCACGTATTAGCTTTTCGTCCTTGATTTTACACTTTTCTACTATGCATGATTTGATTTTTAAAGCTTTTTTAGTAAATTTATTTAATGTGATCGATAGAGAACACAGATCTCAACCTTGGCGATATTGTCTATTGTTTTCTATCATCTTGAGCCATCTCTTAGGTTACGTGCGAATGCTGTCGCGAAAGAAACAAGCAGGCTTCGAGGCACCAAAGTCATCGACGACGACTTTACGCACGCCGTCCAGCGTTTTGAATGGTTTATTCACTAAGGCGTGTTGCTGTTGCATTGACCGGAACAAGTGGTAGTCAGAACATGGGCCAAAGTCTGGTGAATTGGCCGCGGGTGGCAGAACTTCCCATGCGTACTTCTTAACCCAGTAAATGGCATTTTCTCATCCTGTTTACAATTTTCCACAAGAAGTTCATTCACTGGGGAGAGTGATGCTTCAAAGGGGATGCAGTGGAATCAGACACCTTCATAAGACACGCCATTTCTAATAATCCGTGAGCCTGCTCAACGTCCCAATGGCCTATGTGGACACAAGAGAATTCACCTGTTCTTACATGCCCCGTGCACGTCGTTTACGACCTCGAAATCAACAACAACAACAACAACACAACTAAGTTGATACACCTACGAAACGGACCAACCACCGGTCGCCATAATGCAGTGAATCGCACTAATTCACGTCTGCTAACCTGGTCGTTGCATTCTCCGTCGCACTAACCCCCTTTACACAGCAGGCCTACCGCCCTTGTCACTCACACAGCCCTGTGCGTGTACCTCCTCCACGCCCCCTTGATAAACAATCTCATTATCCAGTTGCGACTTTTATGCGCAGTGGTGCAACTAACATCCCTAAGTTGAGCTCTCTGGTAAACGGTTGTCTGTGTCGTCTCTGGTCTCCTTATTGCCTTCTCGGGTATCTGAGTTGAGCGTAAACGGGTCAGTTCTACACAGGTTTAAGATCACGTGACTGGGCCTTCAGCAGGTACGTTGTCTTATTATCGACACAGTGGCACAAGTAGCAAGAAGCTTGTTTACAAAGCAATATTGTTATGTTGGCGCACAAAACATTGGAGACCATAAGGGCAATAAATACAGCTCCAGACTTCACCTGAATGCTCACAATCCTCTCAGAATAAGTAATGTATTGTGGCGTCGGATTAGGGCGCAGGCATGTTGGACCACTGGCCTCAGCCAATCCTGTGTCTCTCTGCAATCCAATGGCATGCGGGAAAGGAAGGCAGCCAACCAGAGAAGGACACGGATGAGATGCAGTATATAACGAGCGGCGTGGCCAGCGTGGTGGACTCGGATGGAAGGCGCCTGACGCGTGGCTCTGGCTTGTGATTGGTCAATAAAGCCTGTTCTGTTGTACCGGTCTTTTACCTATTAGGGCTCGGGTATTCTACAGTATCGACGTGTAAGAGTGCAGACATATTAGACCATGCTGGCCTCAGCCAATCCTGTGTTTCTCTGCCTTCCAATGGCATGCGAGGAAGATATGCAACCAACGAGAGACAGACACGTATGAGAAGTAGTATATAATGAGCGACGTGGCCAGCGTGGTGGACTCGGATGGAAGGCGCCTGACGTGTGGCTCTGGCTCGTGATTGGTCAATAAAGCCTGTTTTGTTGTATCAGTCTTCTTCATACCAAAGATTGGGTACACTACATTCAGATTGATTAGGCGCATAATCCCAATTTGAAAGGCTCTGATCAACCAGCTTACAATAAATCAAACAAGGGGATGAACTGTTTATTTCTTCGCGATCTACTCTCGGTTGTTACAGTATAGTGAACAATATCCAAGGCCAAGTGTGAAAAAGACTTGTAAGAAAGAGAGCAGACTTTATTGATGGCAGAGTACACTACACTGGCTACCTTACCTATTACAGAGTGCTGTTCATCCTTCCCTGTGACTGATTGGCTGCTGATTTTTATCGTGGGCCATTCAAACGTACAAAGAACAGAGGATTGGCTGAGCCTGATGTGATCTACATGTCTGCGCCCTTGTATGGCACTATTGTAGAATACCCGAGCCCTAGTATGAATATGACTGGTGCATCAGACAAGGCTTTATTGACCAATCACGAGCCAGAGCCACACGTCAGGCGCCTTCCATCCGAGTCCACCACGCTGGCCACGCCGCTCATTATATACTGCACCTCATTCGTGTCCTCCTCTGGTTGGCTGCCTCTCTTCCTCGCATGCCAATGGAACTCAGAGAGACACAGGATTGACTGAGGCCAGGGTGGACCAATATGTTTGCGCCACACTACACCGTTCTCTTCACGAAGAAAAACTGCCCTCAATTTTGTTTTAGTTCCTTGCATTCTCGCCGTGAACTTCAATGATAAAATGCCAAATTCGACATTTCCCATACCCCACACCTGGCTATTTTTATTGCTCCTGTCAACTTGCAGAAAGCAAGCGTCGTTCATCACAGGTACCCCTCCAATTGAAGTCCAACCGACTCCCAGGGTCCCTGTGTTTTCTCTGGCTTGCTGATACCTATTCAAATGCAGCGACTCCAATCCCAGACAATGTTTGTGGTTGCAATTGTTTGAAACATTAAATCAACTGCCACGACAAACTCCAGCCGGTATTCATGGGCCTGAATGAAGTAGGTGGGATATACTAATCTCCATCGAAACCTTTGTTTCTGTTGCACACAAAAGAAAACGTTATCCAAACGCACCCATTGCCAATAATGCAAAATACCCCAAGCCTAGACAGAAGCCAGAACCACTCGTCAGGAGCTGTTTATCCAAGTCATCCATTCCTGTCTCTGGTTGGCTGTTGATCGTAACTGCAGATTATTTAAACGCACAAAGACAGAGGATTGGCTTTGCTCGGATTGCTCCAACATGTCTGCCTCCTTGTTCTGCTAACTGTAGAATACCCGAACCCTAGTAGGAAAAAGACTGGTACAACAGAACAGGCTTTATTGACCAATCACAAGCCAGGACCTCACGTCAGACGCCGACGTCCGAGTTCCCCACACTGGCCACGTCACTCATTATATGCTGCACCTTAGTCGTGTCCTTCTCTAGTTAGCTGCTTATCTTCCTCGCATGCCACTGGAACGCAGCGGGACACAGGATGGGCTGCGGCCAGGTGGTCCAATATGTCCGCGCCCTGATCCATCGCTACACAACAATATTCTCGAAAGCTTTGTCCCACTAACTTGCAATAATTTCATCGAATGAGCCAAAAAACTAAGCGGCTACATCAATTCAATGCTTTGATCTTTGTAACTTTCGCCCCAATACCAGGCTTAATAGAATTGAGAAAGAAAATTCATTTCGAGACCTCGTTTAGTCATATGATTTTCCCGTTTGTTGATGACAATCTGCTGATTCAAGTTGAACTCACGTTCGTGAGTTTGTTGCGCTACTACCAGTTAAGTCGTCCGTCGCCACATTTGCAACTATCCACAAGGTCGACGGGAATTCACTGCAATAAAACAAAGTATGCGCGGAGCATTCAACGTGGGAGTTGACTCAGGCTGGAGACATCTTGATAAATTACCCATCGGCTTTTTTAACCAGTCTTCGGTCTGCAAAAATCATCGGTAAAGCGGGTGCGAACATGCGTCCCAGGGTTTATGAGTGAGGGGACAGACGAGACGGTGAATGTCAGGATGGCGAAAAGGCAATTTAAGGTCACAACAGTTTTGCTCAAAATTAAATTATCAATGTTAAGGAAGAGCCTATTCGATAAATTAAACCTCAATTTGATTTAGACAAACCTTTGGTAAATACTAACAATGCCACTAATAATATAAAACGGAATTGAATTGTACGCAAAATGGATACCTTTATAAATATTAACGCCAAAAATCGATAAGCCTTTCTCGTTGGGCAGGTGGGTGCAAATTTTATCGGGGGAAAATTTAAAATGCAAACCATGGCCCCAGTGCACAAAAGCCAATTAAGTTGTTCTCCATTCACTTACAATTTTTACCAATAATTAGGGTTCAGTTAAATATGAGTTAACAGAACATTTTATTCCAAACACTCCACCTTTTCAGATAAACCAGCAATTTACTCAGAAATCTATAACAGTGATACTAAAGGCAAAATAATGCTGCTGTGACCCGCGTTGATTCACACTGGTTAATCCCAGCCACTCCAGCCTCCGACACTGGGTTCCCCTCTTCACAGCATGTCGCCAGCCGGGCGGATCCTCAACTCCCGCCTCATTCACACGAATATTCGGATTATCCTTACACCTAGGTCTCGATGTTAGCGCATGTATGACTCACGCATCCGAGGTATAAATGCACCCCACACACGACACAACGATATCAACATGGTTGAGCTCTGAAGTAAACGGTTGTGTCCACGTCCTGTCCGGTCTTTTTCTTCATCGTGGGTATCAGGGAAACGAAATCAGGCCTGAGTTAATTCTGTGGCCCCAGCGTGGTTCAAGACCACATGCTGGGGCCCATAGCAAAGCCTTATGGCCAAATAGACGATCTGGAACGTTCCAAAACGTGCTCGTGTTTTCGACGATGGAGGGTGCCTGCGTTTCGCTCGTCTATTGGAGCAAATTGTGCGTGGCGCTCAACAAGAACTGCAAGTAAAACAACTGACACCTCTCGAATAACAGAATCAATGTTATGCAGCCATCTTTAACTACTAGAGTTGCCATAGCAACGGAATAAACAAGCCAATTGTTACATCGAAAACTCAATAATACGGACGAAGCACTTCAACTTATGCAGTCAGTGAATTCATGTAATCAAATTACCATTTCTGAAATTAGAGAAATTTACACCTTACTTCAAGTGTCTTGCACTCTTTTCGATCCGTTTGGCGCGTTGTTAGGAGCCCGAATACAATCGATTCCAGCTGGAAAATATTTCCTGCACAGGAGCGACAGTTCAGTGGACAAACTTTGTGAAAATTAGTATATTTAGTGCTACTGAAAAGTAGTTAGTAGAATAGGCGACAACGCCGTGTGGCGAAATAGACCTGGCGCTTGCTCACTGCAAATTAGCATAACTAAATTCCAAGTCCCACACAACATTTTCAACACCCACGTAGACTCATTCTATCTCCAAGAACCTCGATCTATTCTTGCGTAGCCATAGTGAAGGTAGAGATCAACACAAAGGGCGTCGGTGAGCACGTATTATCAAGGCCTCCCACACAAGTGTACTGTCGCTTGATTAAGTGGTCTTCATTGCAAAAAAAAACCACAAACATGATGAACTCAGGCAAACCTCAACTCACAATGCAACGGATTAACCTAAAACAAGACACAGCTATAGGCGTTTGAATTCACGAAAGGCTAACACGCGCATCCACCTTAAGTACAGACAAGAGGTTGCAGAGCGATTCCAAAACTGACCACTACGTTCACCAAGAAGTACTTAAAAGAACGTGGGAATTGAATATACTCATGCATATATTCAAAAAAGAGGGGAGGGAAGTAACGTGTCCACAAGTAATCATGGAGGCAAGAGGAGGTGATTTACAAGGCAGGGTAGCCACCGCCGAAACCAAATCGGCCACCACTGACGGAGGAGGACGCGGCCACGGGGTGCTGTCCAGACGCCGAGAGCTCAAGCTCGCCCAACTTCTCGATCTTGATGCGTCGGGCGTTGAAGGATTTACGAAGGGGCAGCATCTTCGACAGAAACTCGTCTAGATCGATTTCCTTCTTAAGCAGCGACTTCTGCAGCTGCTCTGACATCTCATCCTCCTCGGAGTTTGCCACCTTCATCAGAGCCAGCATTGTCTGAGTCGAAAAGGAGCCACGGATCTCGTCTACACGGAAATGAGCAAAGATGAAGTGGAATAAATTCAGACCAGTTACTTTCCGATTTGAAAGGATATTTATACAAGTATGGCTGGCCACCAGAATAGACAAAAATAAGGAAATTCTGTAATAGGGATCATATAGTGGAGGCAGCAGAGATGTCAGTACGTATCCTGACTTTTCACACAAGAAAAATTCTACCAGTTGGAGGGTATGATTGTGGCGCACAAGAACAAGTAAAATGAGTGAGTAATGGACTAAAAGGATCACGACATCAGTACAAATTAGGGATAGCACATTGGCCTCTTAACGGGACGATGTTACACAAACGCTACTTCTTGTTAAAATCTGTACAAGCATGCCAAAATCAGCGAAAATTAACTTAAGTATCCAGAATGAAGCAGCACAATTATGTCTAGTGACCTGTAATTACTGGACGTAACAATATTTTTACAGTGTGATGTCTTGCCCTACTTGTAAAACGGAGCCCAAACTGAGTATACGCGTTTAGAGGCAAGAATCGAGAGAAATCATACGAACGAAGAGGCCCACGCAGTTTATTCATTTTGTGGAAAAAAACATGTGGCTACAGGAGAAACTATTCAACTCCAACAACAGAGAACCATGGAATATTAAAATTATGAGGCGTGTAAACAGCCCGCGTGTGATCCTGAAAGGAAATAATGTGTTACCAATCAGATTACCTAAACTCACTTAGTGAAAGTGGGTCCTGTGTGAAGAGAAGCATACAAAAACGAGACCTGTAACTCACCTAGCTTGCTCTTATAATTGCTGTATTCTTTAAGTGCCTCGTTAAAGCGTTGGTGAGCCGCGATTAGATCCTCCTTGGTTTGTTTCATCTGCGGTTCCAGTTTTAGGTTCTCGGAGGCCCTATCACGGTTGCTCTTCATTAGGTGCTTTTTGTCGGCTTTCAACTTTTTAACCGTAGCGCCGTTCATCACCATCTCGTGGATCTTTGCGTCGTCATTGAAGAGATCCTCCAACTCAGACTTGGTCATGCCCAAAAGCTTGTCGTTAAATGAATCAACAACCAGTCCATTAAAAGCCATTTCTAACCTGCAATGCAAAATTACGTGGAGTAAAGTATCCTTTGAGGTGGATCTCATACTCACTTTTAACTTAAGAATCCGCGCAAAAAAATTAAAAATGCAGAGGCTAATTCTAATATTAAAAACAGGAATCAGCAAAAAAAAAAAGAAATTACGTTTATATAGGGTAATTAACTTTTAACAAATTTGGAGATAGAAAGATGTATTTAAAAGCACACACTGGAAACTGTGCCTCAGTATTGACTATGTTCCTATTGTCTATACCTTAAGACTAATCTGTCAACCATAACATCACAACAGTGGACAAGCTTCTGAGAACAAGCCGAAGAAAGAGAGTCTGTCGCTCAAGCCCAACTCCAACTGGACTAGACAAAAAAAACTCCATAAACCATTACTCAAGTTTTTTTCAGCATTTGATAACCTCAATTCTTAGAAAAACTATTGACACTTATTTACCATGAAAACCAATAGTTGGAAATAAAAATCTACATAAACGAACCAACATATACACGATATAAGACACATGCATCCCACTATCAAAATAAGCGATATAAATAACTTATCAAGTAAAGAGTAAAAAAATATATACATGTCAGACTGAGATAATCAAAAATATCAAAACTTCCTACCAGTGCTCATTAAAGTTAACTGTACAAAACAAGGCTAATTGAACACAACTTATCAATGTTGTAATTTGGGGAAGGTGACACCCCGACATTTTTTCCAAGACGCTTAGACCATATACGTAAGTAACGTCAAAACATCACACGCCATTTACCTTCTATGTTTTACTAAGAAATTACTATGAAAAATTCGGGATGATGTTTAAGTGCAATGTCCATAAAAGACATAAAATATATTATTTTAATTGTGAAAGTATCTCAGTATCAGCCGTCAAATAACTAACAGATTATTTTTCTTCCATAAATGGCGCAAAGTAATTGCTGGACATCATACACCTATAAAAAGTTAGAAATTTGGATATGGATAATTTAAGACATTTAATTGAGTATAAAGATGAAAGTTATCAGAACTGTAAAACACAATGTAAGCTTTGTAGGAAAAATGTTGAATTGCTATTATAAAAGACAAGCCGGGATTTGACAGAAGCATTTGGAATATTTTCGTAGAATGACCGTTTATTGATTCCGAATTTGAAAACTGAATATTAAAAAATAATTTGAACTCCCTAACATACATGCTTGCAAGCAGATCATTTAATTATAACGTTGCATAAGGATTTCTAATCCAAATCTGTTTAAATCAAAGCTGTTCAATGTAAACTAATTTATTGCCGCAATACTTTATTTAAGACTGCCTTTTACAAAAAAACTATTATATCTATAAAGTTGATAAAGACGCTTTCCTCTTATGTTGCATTTGACATAATTTTGTCTAATAGACTTTATTCAAAGCTAATTTACGTGTAAAAAAATTTTGAAATTTTACAAATGAGTTGGGCCTTGATGTGGGAGAATGCATAAACTTTGAGAACAATGTAACTAAATCATTTAATGTCATTTATTTGTTACAAATTGTATTGTTAATTATGAAATGACGAGTATAATTCCCACCTTAAAACTTTGGTCCTTTGCGCCACTGAATAGCCTAAGCACAAAAAATTACGTAGTTCAAAAAGTAAATAGATTTACAATAAGTATGCGCATCAATATATATATAAATATCTTTGAAAATTATAGTTCCATATTTTATTAAGCACTGTTTCATATCCAATGACAAGTAAAATATGGCTTTTTAGATTTTGAATTTAATTGTGTACAATTATTAACTAGATTTTTTTCTAAGGCTGCATTTGCTGAAAATTGTCAATATTTGTTTTCGAGAACAACATTTGGTCTGAGATACAAAAAGTTTTAATTTAAATATAACAGGTATACGTAAGTTGGATCCTGAATATTCACAAATTATATTTTGTCTTACGATACTTTATTCCCTCTTGGGGATGTCCAACTTCTGTCACTTACTGTGATGGAAATAAAGTGTGTGTCCAAAGATTTGAATTAATTAAAATTAGGAAGATTAAATGAGATTATTTCCGAGTTTTATCCGTAATTAGTTAGTTGCATTTGGTACTGTCACCAGCATACGCGATAACACCGTTTTCGTGAAAAATACTTCTGAAAATCTTTGTCAATTTTTTTAGTGATCTCTCAAATTATTTGTCTGCGTATTTTGTCATTTATTACGTTCGTAAATGACAAATTGTTTTATGCTTTTTCGCGCCTCATGTACATCTAGCACTAACATTACGCGCGCCAAATGGTCCCGTAGCAGATCTGCCAACCTTCATTTTTGTCTTCACTAAATCCTTTTTTTAAATTTATTATTATGTTTCCACTACCTAATAATTTTTTTTAGTGATTATTTGGTAAATATGCACGTGACATCCAAAATACCGTGCCTTGAGTTAATTGTTTGTTGCTGTGTTGCGTGGTAAACAAACGCATTAATCATCCCGACAGCACATATATATAGCATTACCATTCATATAATTTAAAATACAGACAATTTCGCCTCGATTTTCTTACAGGGGGCCTTGGAGTTGGATATGCTCTACTTTAAGGTCACTCTTGCTTGTGCGCATTTTTTAATAGCAATGAGGTTTTCTTTGTCACGTTTTGATGTCCTTCCCCGAAGTGGGCATCTGAGCGAAATTAACAACTTTCCTGGAGTCGATTTTCCTACACCAAATTGCCTACTCTATACGAAATTTGGTTAGTAATTTCACTGTGTCTTATTTAAAGGCGCCGTCCCATTTCTCACAAATGACCTTGTCATCCAATTGCATAATGCTCCAAACCTCACATTTGCGGCATTAAACTTTTTGTAAGTTACTTGCATATTTTTTACCTTTAGGCGAGAACGCCTCAAAGTTTTTCAGAAATTTGGCAAGGGCCTGGCACAGTATTCGGGACTTAAAGTACGGTTGCGGCTTTCCTTATATTGATCATTTGCAAGTTTCCAGTCTTGCTCTTTCAGAATGATCCGACTGAGTCACCTGTCACGCGTGCTGTTGAGAAAACATCTATACAGATATGGGCTGTGGGTGGCCGTCTGCCTGTTACAATGGACCAGTTTGCAGACTGTGTCATCAATGCCGTGCCAGTTGCATTTCAAATGCCTGTTGATAATGAAACATCTTTTCCGGATTCTTCTCCTCCAACGAAAAAACGCTGTCAAAAGTCTGTTCAGCGAACAAAATCCTACGCTGAAAGGCTCGACGTGATTATCAAGTGTGATGAAGTTAGTAGTTCCGTAGTTATAAATTTTAGCTTTCTAGCAGAACCTATGCAATTCTGCTAACTCTTTGTCTTAAATTCCCCGTGGTCACTGATTACGCCTGTGTGGCCAAGAATCCTGTCCTTGCAGAATTCTGTTTTCGACAACTTTTCACGTTCTTGCTTGTGCAGTCTACAAAGACAAAAATTGTTCGGTATCGTCAATATCTGCATTGTGTTGGTTAATGCATATTCAGCTTCTAAATCGTTTTGTGTTTTCGATATTACGTTTATCTTGTAGTGAGTATTAATTCACATTGCTCGTCCAGTTGAAATAGTCATTTGTTAAACACAGAACCCGCAGATCCTATTCTTGTTCATTAAAATTGGCAAGCCAGCTGTTTGTCACTCCAGTGTTATCAATTATTAAAAGACCATGCTTTTATAGTGTGCAATAAACCGTAGTTCTTAGAAAATTATCAAACAGTTTAGCTGAAATGATTACCTTTTAGAAACTTTCAAAAATACCCGCGCTAGTATCAGTAGCGGGTGGGAATGATCTTGAGCAACGCCTTCGTGGCATTTCATCTACCGATTTTACCCGCGCATCAGGTGAGTAGAATTTATCATTTTACCGGCAGCTTAATTCTTTATATTCTGAATATGGTGCTGATTCCTGTCTACGTTGCCAAAAGGCCATTTACCGATCAATAAACTAAGTATTTTTAAACAGGTGTCGTAATTGACGGGTTTTTTGTCGACTGCATCGGGGGAAATCGCGCTACCCACCTCGAAACCGTATTCGATGTCTTAGCAAAGATGTGCGCCGAGTTGCAGCCGCAGTTGCCGCGTTTCCTTACGGGTATTTGGCAGCCGGACGAGGTGGTGCGAGCCTGTCTGTGTGGCGTGGACGTATTCGACGGCAGCCTGCCCTTCCGCCTGACGCGATCTGGCATCGCCTGGCTGTTCACCGCGCACCGCGACGGCAAAAGTCCCCACGCCTGGATCCGATTTCCCCTCGACCAGGCCGTCCTCGACACCGCCGAGGTCTACAGGCAACCGCTGCAGGCGGACTGTCCGTGCTTCGCCTGCACGCGACACAATCGCGGCTACATTTCGCATCTGCACTCGGTGAATGAGATGCTAGCTCACATTCTCCTAATGATGTAAGTGTTGTCGTGACTAATCAGCCACAACTACTGATTACTATTAGTAGTCATTTAATTTTCTAATTGTCGCCGAATCTGCACCCAACAAATTGCGAAGCCCATTGTTAACCTTCCCACGCTCTTTTGTCTAGCCACAATTCTACACAGTGCTACCAGTTTTTCGCAGATTTGCGGAAAGCAATAAAAGAAGACACTGTCGACAGTTTCGCGGAGATGTCCAAGGAGCACCACTTTCCTGAGGAACTTGTGCAAATTGATCTTACTTCTAGTAGCCTTCAAAACGCCGATGACTGTTGATACGACTGAGCTCCTTGTCATTTGGCTCTTGCAGGTAGTCTGCGAAACTACATCTACTTATGTATTAAAAGTAGTCATGTTTTATTTTGGAGAAAAATGAACTGGTAGAGCTTTTCGATGGCCAAAATTGAAACTATTTCTACAAAGTTGGCTGCTTAACCCGACAGTTTGCGGTACAATAATTACCTTTTTCGAGAAAATGAACAATATGGAAGGGGGGCTAATTAATCCGCATGTTGTTTTCGCCTTGACTCCGTTCGATGGTCGTGTGTGTGGGTGTGTGTGTAGGCGTCCACCGGCTGGAAACGTCAACATCTAAATGTTTGCGTCGCGTGTTTACATTCCTGTGGGCTGGTTGCTCACTCATGCAATCGTGGGAAGTGGCTGGCATCAAATGCGTGGCACGCGTTCATCCAAACCGCCGTATTCTCGCCAAAAAATGCATCTGTTTGTTGTGACTAATGCGCACATTGCACTGCCAACCAATCAACTCGAAGTGGACTTCTGGTGGTTTGAATTGCAATCGTAAGTAATCCCACTACTGGGTTGTCCTGTTGTGTCACGGTAACACGTAATACAATGCAATGCGTGCGTGGTGTTGCAGTGTTATTGAGTGCTTCCTCACACCTCACCAGCTCGTTAAGATCCAACTGGTATTTCGACACAGCCAGTTCTCGAACCTACGCCTTTAGGCAGATGATGGCGCTGCTGGATAGTCGTTCTTGGAGTTTACATATGTCGACGTATTCAGCAGTGGAAGTCCTGGAGATAACTAACGGAAAAATTGACGTCCCCTGTGAACGACAGTCCGTCGCACGGTGACGAGTATTAAGAACTAGGGGAGTGGAAGCTGTTATAAGTTTTCGGAAACCCATCCGACAAGCAATCATTCTCCGAAAGCTAGTGGGGTCATTTCTGGCTATCTGTGGGTCATAACAAGCTGCCGAATTGGGCTGTGCACTTTCGTGAGTTTGCTATTTGCACAGATCTAAGAACACCGTCAGTCACCAGGCTCGGTTTGAATCTACTCCATTGGTGTCACGTGATTGGCACAGCGTAGAATACCTAAGCCCCAGTATGAAGAAGCCTGGTATAAGAGAACAGGCTTTATTGACCAATCACAAGGCAGAACCACACGTCAGGCGCTTCTTATCCGTCCCTGTCTGTGGTTGGCTGCAGATCTTCTTGGCGGGCAATTTAAGCACCCACCGACAGAGGATTGGCTGAGCTCTAAGTGATCCAACATGTCTGCGCCCCAGTACAACACGAAAACAGCGTCTCGCCAGTGCCTATTGGTGAGTTGTCTCATGTCGCCAGGCGTGCAGTCAAGCTGTGTGACTGCGAACGCAGCTTCTTTCGGGGCTCTGCACCACACATGTATTGCAGTTACACTGTCAAATTCCGAGTTTGCTGGCCTTTCGCCTAATCACATTGGAGGAGTCATCGACTAAGCCTACCTCCCTGAATGACCGTGTTTATTCAACGTCTGCTAAGTTTGTCGACACAAATTATCGTGTACGGTTCATTTGCGAGCTCGCTACTCTTGAGCTCGTTGGTACGGTTTTTTGTTACATTTTGCCCGTAACCAAGAGCCACACACTCAGATAACCGTTACCCCAGATCCCTTGTCTAAAGCTAGATTCCACACCTTCCGCGCTGATGTGAGCCAAAGCGAGGCCTCCTGCGGGGCGCTTTTAATGACTCAGCCAAAGGTTGAGTGATCTGTCGAAATTTGTCCAATTATATAAGTCAGGGGTGATCTTGGTCTGATGGATCAAGGCAGGTTAACACCACTGGAGTGTCGGGATTAGGGGGATTGTGTAGACACTGACGAAATCCTAACCCACGATAGGGCCGTGTTGGGGAATGCTGGATCCCCGACAGTTTTGTGAAAGTCCTGCTTTTCCAGCAAAAGGAGTGTGGAATTAAACGTTCATCAGCACACCAAGCTATTGAAAAGCGCCTCTGTTAAGTGGATAAGTTGACCTAAATGTGACCTTGGTGATGTGGGGTGACGCTCTTGAACAAAGCTCCACAACTCTTCCAGGCTCGTCAGCTTTGACTTAACTCAGAATGACCTTCAAATCATCTACATCTCATTCGTATTTTCGTGACAGAAGAACCTCTCACTCAAAAACAAAATCAGCAATAACCTGTTTGTTGTTGTTTATCGTTGCCATAGCAACTATGCCAACAAATTTGCACCACCGTTTATATACATTTTACCGAGTCGCAAGTGTAACTCGATCTTGTGTGGTCGACCGGATTGTCATTGGTTGGAATTCGACCAGTCTGTTGACCACCTGTGCCAACACGTTCACGGGCCAAAACCTCGAATCAACTAGTGACTTGACGCCAGACACGTCAACACGCGACGCGCCACTTTATTGACAGTCTGGCGGCAGTGGTAATCTTTGAAAAGGGGCATTGGCAGGGTGTTTGTGCGAGATTCAATAAACTAGTTTACATGTCTGGGTTCCCAGTGCTGTCAGGTCAACGTGAACTCCATTTTCTGCAACCATGCCTGCATGCAATCCCATTCCAAACATGATTTGAATTGCAATATGAATCTGTCGGGGGTTCACGTCGTGTCTGGTTTTGGGCAGCCTGCCTCGTAAACAAACTATCACTTCCGAATGCATGTGCTCTTATGAAAGCGTTCGGTATACTTTAGAAAGCCAAACTCCGTCCAAGTCACTAATTTTTCTCGTAAACCCCGATTTGATTGCAGATATTACGAGTCCACATCCCGTGAAATCAACCAGAGGGCCTTTGGGCGGTTTTCACAGCGTAGCAGCCAATCAGAACTGCAATATGAATCTGTCGGGGGTTCACGTCGTGTCTGGTTTTGGGCAGCCGGCCACGTAAACAAACTGTCACTTTCGAGTGCATGTGCTCTCACGAAAGCGTTCGGTATACTTTAGTAAGCTAATCTCCGTCCAAGTCACTAATTTTTCAAGTAAACCCAGATTCGATTGCGTCCCGCGAAATCCACGAGAGGGCCTTTGGGCGGTTTTCACAGCGTAGCAACCAATCAGATTCCGGTGGTGGGGTCTTTTTCGTCAAAATCACTTCACTGCCTCAGTATCACAAATCAACACTTTGACACCATTGAGTGCATCTTGGAAATGAAGATTAAATCCTGAAGTGTCCCCTATAAGCCTCCAAATGTGGTCTGGTTCGAGTGCTTGGCAGGATTCCCCACACAACGGGCACCAGAAATTTATCGGCGTGGACAGTATTGAGACTCGTTTTTCACGCAGTAATCGTTCAGTAAAAGTGTAGTTTTTGAAATTTATTACAAAAGGGGGGCTGTTTCAACTCTGCAAACTGCTTCGACATGGTAGCCATCGCACAATTCAGACCCCATGCAAATACCCGAAAGAAAACTGCCACAGCCACTGCAAATACGCAAGGCAGATGGTTCGCCTTCAATAGGAATCATGATAATGCAGACATGTCTGTCGGCTTTGTACCGGGACCACTTGAAATCACAACCCTTACGCTCTCAAATGGGCCCACAATAATGCAATGACATAGTTTTCAAAATGACACGACTTCTTTGTAGTTCCGTTAAGCGGAGAATAATGAAACAAGGTAAGCATTAACAAAGAACCGCTTAATTGCACCCGGCTGTGATTTTCCCAACAGCTGTGTGCTCTAGAAGTTAGTTCAAGTTCATGCGAATTGCATAAGCTGCATGCAGACTATGCGTGCCTACCACCGAAAGGTCATTCTGATCAAGACTGGCATAAATTAGACTAGCTTTCGCTAATGCGTTTGTAGATTGACCTAGTTCCCCATGGAGAGGCTCTGATCGCACTCACGGATCACCAAGTAGAAGATCATTTTTGGACGTAATCTCACAACCTCTGCCTCTAAACCAGTTTGTGTGTGCAAGAGTTGCATGTGTTTAATGGTGTGGATCGCCACTGAACGCGGTAGTGACAACTTGTTGGCTAATTAAGTTGCTTTTCGTCCGTGTGCGTTAATGCATTTGGGGCATAGATGGACGAACAACTCTGCAACGCGCTTAGGTAATTGAGTTGCTGTGGATGCTTGAAATCTAGTTACTTCATGCAATAAAGGGGAACGTGTGTATGGGCTCAGCGCCAACTACGATTTACTCAGAAGTGACGCCGCCATCAACGGAAAGGCGTTTGCAAAGATGACCGATGCCTTCTGAAAACCAAATTCCCCACCCCCACATCCGTTTCGTGGTTCTGATCTCACATGTAGCAGTTGCCGTGGTCTTTGGTGGTCCACTCTGATTCAAGGTATTCTCGTTGGCATTGGCTCCTCCTCACCAGAAGTGGCTGTCCCCTCGGGTTAAACAATCATGTGAAACCGACGTGTCACCTGGGTCAGTGGTCACGCTGTTTCCGCGTGATTCCCCATGACCTGAACCCCAGCGACGCATTTGTAGATACACCGGCAAGTATGTCAACAATGGACACATTTTAACCGACCTGTAGACTTGAATTAGAAACTGACGTTCAATATGATGATGATGGTGATGATGGTTGAAATTTTTAATAAGTTAGTAGGTGGTTTTTAATGGCAAAATGACGATCAAATTCACGAATTCGATTTGTAACTGCTGTTGAGAGTTATGGGTATTCAAGCATGTTAAAAATCAAGGTCAGATTTCTTGAACATTATAATTTCACGTAACCACGTGAATTGTGGATTCACTAGCATGAGAAAGTTCATTTTAGCAGAAGTTGTTTACGCAGTCCAGCCCACACGCGAATTCCACGAACTTGGAGTGAGCGGAGGTCCAGTTTTTTAAACATCTAGATGAGTCATGTATTTAACTTGCTACCAAGTTAGCTGATTCCAATGTAACTGTGAGTAGATTTTAAACATTTCGCCTTTTGGGCGACAAGAGGTGAATTTGCGATTGTGGCTGTAAATTGTAAAAGCAATACACAACATTAACTCTGTGCTAGCATTGACAAGTCAAATGGACGAAACGATGGCAACTTGTCCGTCTGTCATTGGAAATGAATGATGATATGACTGGTTATCGATTCTGGGCATCGTTGACTAGACACCTGACCAATCGAGTGACAGGAAAGTAACCCTGGTGGCCGAAAAACCTAGTTTTAAACAGTCGAATTGTCCAAACTCTACGAATTTATGAAACACTTAGGCCGATCACTTTTTCTGTGTTAGTGCGGTGTAAAAATCACTGCTGCTAAAGCTGGCACAGCGCACTATAGTGCCCTATGACCGTTTGCAATTGCGTTGGTGAAAGTATTTGTGCAAAACTCGAGATCGGCACTTTTCGCTTTAACTTTGAGGTGATCAAAGAATTGCAGTAATCTGAAAAGCACCAAGACTGGATTGCATGTCTCATCCGAACTCAAATAGAAGATCTACCTCACTGAGTTCATCTGATGATAGTGACTTTCGGAAAGGAATATCAAATGAAAACTCGACATGAGCAGGGTAAACTTTACTGTAATAGTGATAAACTAACAGTTTCACAGTAAAGTTGTGTCCTCCGCCTTGAAGAATGACTTTAGCCCTGGGATTTGGGTTTTTCCTCGATGTGGTCGAAGTTTTTTATCGATAAAAATATTTTTAAAATAAAGGTCAATGTGATTGTCAAATAAATCAACACGATTGTAGATCGGTTCATTGGAATAAAATTACTTGGCATTACGACTGCTTCTAGCGGTTCGCCAAGGAAGCACCATCACTTTTTAAAACTCATCTTCCAAGCTTTATTCAATCCCAAACTTTAATGGATTTGTACCACATACTCCTTCTGGTCTTTTAATGTTGCAACTAGCTGCATTGACAATGCACGCTCATGCCATCATGTTCAAATTGAATTGCAGTTAGCCTGTGCCTCCTGGCTTGGTCGATTTCGTGCTTGCAACCTTAACAGAGTTTTCACATGATGCAAGCAACTCTGCGCGGTTCGAATATTTTGATTTGTCGATTGGCTTCTATCTAATACGGCACATGAACCAAACATATCTATGGTGATTTTGAGGTCGTTTACGAATAAACTCTTTAGTACAATGCGCTTTCTTTAACTTATTGCTTGAATCAGGTCGAGGAAATCTTGCACCAAAAGACCCTTTGGTCTCGCTTATGCTCTTGACTTTTTTCAAATAACAAGGGGTTGCTCAAAATTTTACAAAATGCCAACTTTTCCAATATGGTCTGCTTGTGGTTTTATGACCAGGAAAAAAACAGTAACTAAAAGACCTTTGTATTTGACCTCGGTAGGGATATCCAACATACTTCTTATTCTTCCATCTCTAGTGAAAGTCTGTTAGATGAATACAAAAAGTAAAAAGGGCACAACTAAATCGTACGTTTAAAAGTTGCTCAACATTTTGATTTGCATCATGTAAAAGTAAGTTATTAACTAACTTCATTCGCTTAAAAAAATGCAAAACTGTTCTCAAAACGCTAGAAAAAATGCAACTTTTTGTTTATTTTTGTTGGGAAATCATAATGTCAACAAAAGATTTCAAAAATACTAAGATCACAAAATTAAATGTCACTCTATCCGACTGATTTAAATACTAAATAACATACTTGATCGATTGTTTATTCAAACATTCAAACGGTTGATACTGTAGAAAGAGACAAATGAAAATAAAATGCATAAATCAGATGTTATTTACGAAGCTTTAGCAGACACAGATAAGTGTTTGCTTAAGGAAACAGAATCCGTACCAAGATTTCGAGCGACGGGTTGGGAAATTGTAAGGAATGCATGACCAGAAAGACGCTGAAAATTGAGTCGACTTTCAGGTCTTTTGTGCAGGCATGAAAGCAAAAAATCCTTGGCCTTAAGAGACAGGGAAGGCGCAGGCATTGAGTTCTTGTTGTTTGTTTCTTCACAATATCGACAGCCATCAGTTATGCTATCTTCATGATTTTCTGGATAAGCCGGGCGCATTCGGTGACAAGAATAGGGATCAGCGAATGGAAATTTTTTACATAAAAGAACAAACGCAGTTGCTCCAATAGACCATACTTCACCTGCCGGCGTCCACAGACACTTGCGAATGAGCACCTCTGGTGGCGCGTATTCTGGTGTGCACCCTAATGTCCGCGCATCGGGGATGGGAAATTCTTGGGGAACCAATTCCATGGCAATATTAAAATCGATAAGCTTGATACGCCTTTCGTTTCGATTTATAAAAATATTGTCTGGTTTGATATCACAGTGAAGGACATTCAAACTATGAAATTCTTGTATGGTGCGGATAGTGTCTCGCATAATCCAAGAAATCGAAGCTTCCGTTAAAAATCCATCGTTCTTATGTATTTCCTGAGTTAACTTTGAATATCCTGCGGCACACAAATCTTCAAGGACAATAACGTATATGTTGTTTCTTTCGTCAAAAAAGTAGTCAAGCATTTTCACACATCCACTCACATTCTGAAGTTTTTTCAAGAAATACGCCTCTTTTAGAACTGGCCGTTCACCTTCGGAAGGTACGTATGCCGTCATACTTGATTCTAAGTGTTCAGCGTCATAGCATTTTAGTATAACAGGTAGGCCATCATCTTTTCGAGCTGCTCTTAGAACTTGAGCGCAAACTCCTCCATGGATCCTCTCGGTAACAGCAAACGCATCCACATCCATTAAGTGTTCATGAAGGTCACAGAGCTTCTGTTAATTGATTCTAACTATTTTGTAAATTGCATACCCTGAAGTTTACTCAATTTTATCATTTGTTAACTAGCAAAAATAGTTAGAGGTAAATAATTATTTGCGTCATGTGCTTGTTAGGCACCATTACTTTAAAAAATAATTACCAGTCTTTATAAGGAGGCAATTTAAAGTTACTTAAAGTATTGTTTAAGAAGTAATGAGGCTCTAATTAAGTAACCATTACTACAAATGTCAGAACTAGAACCAGTTAACCTTGATATTATTAAGATTTATTCTTTACTGTGTTTTTTTAAGAAAATTAGTGAAGCTTAAAAAAGTGAATGATATTTGCAGTCTTCGAATTAAATAAAAAAGTAGGTGAGCCTAAATTATTTATGTACATTTTCTGTCCCTATATTTCAGTTACATTCCATCAACCCTTTACAGTTATTTGAAAGGTAAATATTAGTGCTGGCGCAGCAGGGAATTTAAATGTGAATATATATTCAAGTTCCTGACATTTGTTATGAGTGGTAACAGTCAAAGACAAATGCGGCTCACCAAATGCAAAAACACCTTGTTTATTTAAAGGTCCAGCTTGAAAAGCGAATTACATGATTTACTATGGATATATTGTGTCAAACATCGTTAAACAAAAATGATTCGTTAGGTTTAATGCAATAATATCATTTCAGCACTAGCCAAAAATGTGTAGACGTGATATTACTAAAATATTTCACACATTAGATGCATAGTAATTACCTTGTTATGAATGGCGTTGATTCACACTCTCTTATCCGGTGACTTCGGCCTCCGAAACAGGGTCCTCCTCTTCGTAGCATGTCGTAAGCCGACCGGATCCTCAACTCCCCCCTCATTTCGCGAAAATTTATCCTAGATTATCCTTACACCTAGATCTCGATGATAGTGCATGTAAGACTAACACATCTAAGGTAGAAATACACTCAAAAATGCCATCCACGACACAACGACACCATCGTGGTTGAGCTCTTAATTAAACGATTGTGTCCACGACCTCTCTGGTCTTTTCCTTATCGCGAGCATCAGGAAAGTGCAATCGGGACAGGATTAATTCAGTGACTTTGAAGTGGCGCAGGACCACATGCAAGGGCCCACAACAATTTGTGACCACGACGTGAGGAAAAGTCCTTCAAATTTCACTACAACGCTTATAGTATGTAACAACGCGTATTCAGAATGTTTTAACCATAAACAGCCTAAATCACATGCTACATTCAAAATTATCGATTATCAATTTCTTGATTTTTGATATTTGATGATGTCATTTGGTGCTGGTTACCGACAGAGGTGGCACTGTCTGACACGAGGCCGCTTACAAGACCTCCACACCTGGAATCTCGCTCATCCAATAACCACGTCGCAGTGCACTGTTACCTTCACGAAAGTGATGCTATTCAGTTAACAGCGACTCTGGCACATGCCATCTTGCCTTGCACACATGAAAACCTCCCTTGGGGAATGTGAACATGAATTGGGGTTTGGGAGTATCCAGTAGTCATACGCTACCCTAATTAGCATCACAAGTCTGCGTTTTGCATGCCTCAAGTTTGGCGTCGACACACTGTCAAAACAGCGACTTCGGTATCGATCGCTTTATATGGAGTGTCATACAACACAAAGGAAACGCGTTTGCTTGTTTGGGTGCTTCACACACGAACGATTTCAAAGTGTCATTCCACTCAAGTGTTTTGCATAGCACGGAGCGATACCTCACTTCAGCATGGTTCATTGTCACTGTGATTCAAATTATGGTCATGAACGAACGCTCTCTCACCGGTAAGCTTGCTGTAAATCGTGTGGAATAGCCACTGCACTCCGTGTCAGAGCCAGGCCCAACGTAGCTTCACCTCGTTAAAACACACTTGTAGGTTTTTGCCACCATTCATTGCTATTGCACCAAATTTGTGTGACAGACCCCCGCTGAGCCCGCTAAGTTCATTTGCCACACATTAATTGCTTGATCTTTGATTTCATTGGCTAATTTGGGCTGGCACATAATCCAACAATTAAATCGATACTTTGTAACTTAAGCGCGACATTTAATTTCGAGTAAATCAGTCTACTAAATCGGTTTTAGGAAAAGATTGGGGTGCGTTTAAGGTATTATACTGAGAAATACGAAAACGATGAATGTGTTCACCGGTATTAGAAAATGGTTCAGAATGGCTTTGCGGAAATTTCGTGCATGCAGTCAAAATCCGACCTTGGTTCCCCGTATGGATACTGGGTCCAAGTTATTAATAAATGTGTTATTGATTGGCTTCCAATTGATTATTTCTGGTCCCCAAACCAGGTCTGTGAAGCAGCTTCCACGCCGTGTAAGCTTAAGGCCGAATCTGCGTGTCACGAAAACAGCTTTAGCATTTCCTCCGGCTTCGCCGGCGTCACAAAAAATGCATGTTCTCGCGGTGATGGAACACGCACGCCGACTCCACAAAAACAGAGATAATAGTACGTTGTATTAGCACATCCACATCTTTCCCAAAAACACAACTGGACTTAAAAACTCGTGCTTCGATTACTGGAGATGTCACACAAATTGAGTGCAATAGTAATGAAGGATGGCGGAAACCTACAAAGATGTTTTAATTAGGTGAAGCGACGTTGTGCCCGGCTCTGACACGGAGTGCAGTGGCGATTCCACATGATTTACAGCAAGCTTACCGGTGAGAGAGCGTTCGTTCATGACCATAATTTGAATCACAGTGACAATGAACCATGCTGAAGTGAGGTATCGCTCCGTGCTATGCAAAACACTTGAGTGAAATGACACTTTGAAATTGTTCGTGTGTGAAGCCCCCAAACAAGCAAACGCGTTTCCTTTGTGTTGTATGACACTCCATATAAAGCGATCGATACAGAAGTCGCTGTTTTGACAGTGTGTCGACGCCAAACTTGAGGCATGTAAAACGCAGACTTGTGATGCTAATTAGGGTAGCGTATGACTACTGGATACTCCCAAACCCCAATTCATGTTCACATTCCCCAAGGGAGGTTTTCATGTGTACAAGGCAAGATGGCATGTGCCAGAGTCACTGTTAACTAATTAAGCTTGTAGCAGTTGTTTCCAGTCGTGCCACACGACTGTGCAGTGGTTTGAATAGCATCACTTTCGTGAAGGTAACAGTGCACTGCGACGTGGTTATTGGATGAGCGAGATTCCAGTGTGGAGGTCTTGTAATCAGCCTCGTGTCTCTGGGTGACCAGAACTAATTGTTAGTGACCGACGTCCAACGAGCATGTGCTGTGTCTAAACGTACCAATCGCAATTAATCCCTTCTCTGCGGGATTAAACACTACCACCTTCCCACCATCTTTGTCCGAAATGGCAGGTTCGAATTGGCACTGGTAGCTGCTTTTACCACGCCCTGAATGACGATGATTACAACCCAAACTAGCAAGAGTCTGTTCGCACACACTCCTGTTCAGACAGCCGACCCATGCCAGTATACACACAGTGTAGTGGGCTGGTAAGTGTAGAAGGCATATCGACTAATTAGCACTTTCGATGGAAACTTGTAGGCGATGCATCGAGCACAAATATGTGGAGCGAGAGAATTCTAGTCACTGATTGACACGTGTTTTTTTCACAACGATCCGACCCACAGGACTACGGTTCAGCCAAGTGATTGATGAAATCGGCACGCAGGCCCAACTGCGCGTTTGTTTGAGGCGCTTACTCCACCGACTAGACACTCAGGGCTAGACTCGCCTTTCTTCCACACGACCACAATAGAAATGGCGAAAAAATGATCCAAGCTGGCGCATAATATTAGTGGTGAGACGCTTTCACACAGTCACGAATTTCTCAAAATCTTCTGCAACACCCGTAGCTTAAAGGCGCGTGCTTTGTGCCGCTGTGACTGCGGCGTCCCCAAGATCCATCCCGTCTAGTCGGTTGCGAATTCTACAAGTGACCACACTTTCACGAACACCCGAAAATCGTGCATCAGGGCTAGAGATCGATGCCCCCACGTCGATAATTTGATAATAAAATAATCTCGTAAAGCATAATTACATCTCGACATTACAAAGTATTGGAGAAAATGCAGGATATTTGAGTTACACGGTTCTCTTGTTTAAGGCTAGATAAACGCAGAGCCTGTTTCCAACATGTATTCTGTAGAGGCGGTGTTGCGAAGCTTTTGTCACCCCAAAGCCCTTAGCAGTTGTTTCAGCAGGCAGATTAGGTTAGGATTCGGGCATTGTTGCGAAGTGACAAGGCTGACGCTGCTGCAATTCCACTTCATTCAACGCTCAATTTATCTCAAATCTCGTTCAGTTACAGCCCCGGAAACAAGGTATTGGTAAGGACAGAAGGCTAACAGACACACACACAATACGACATTTGCTTCACGGGAAAAACGTCGGCCTGTTCTAGCTAACTGACAAGGAGGAGGTAGCGCATAACCTGTAGGCATAACCAATTTGTCACGTGTTCTCTCAAGGAAGAAAAAGTAAAACGACACACCACCTACACTGAAACCCACGGACTACTCCTACCTTCGGGGTGAAATAGACATCGTCTCTAGAAGCAAACTCTTGCTACTGGGTACGACTTCCTTAATTCTACTGAACACAGACAGTACTTACTTATCGTTTAGAGGTGCTTTCAGGTCTCAACGAGATTATGAATATGCTGATACGTGCATTAGCGAGATAATAGTATTTATGCAGAAAATGACTCATTCATAAAGCAACCAAACTTCATGACTATGCGCAACACCAATTAAACCACACCTAACGGACTGCTGATGGAAGCCTAACGAACAGCGCAACATAGCTTGCGCTCAATGTCAAACCAAAAGGTGTGAAAGCTCAGAGACTTCTGAAGTGACGCCTGATTATGACGTACAGCTTCTCAGATGGAGTCGGATTCGTGAAATATACGCCATAAATTGAGTAAAGCATGCAACTACAGGAATTAGTACCAACTGGGATTTAATCGAAAATGCTCCTTCAAGCCGGGCACGCAAATAAAATAACGTTTCTATTAAATGCCACAAGCCTTTTCATTCACATCCACAAATGAATAGAATAATAGTGTCCTATAACAAGTTTCGCCATAATAAAGAGGGTAACAGATAAGGTAGGACGGATTTGCGTACACGCCGAAATAATAATTTCAAGGGAAATTGTTTTAGAATCAACCGTCCAAAAAATGCAACAAAAATACTAAGGGCGTATAAAATCACGTTGGAGAAAGGAAAAAGTGATATCCTACGGAAACTGCTATTGCAGTAATGTCCACTTCTTGATGAAAAATTCGACAAACTGCAACATAGTAAGACAGACGTTCACTCTAGCTTAAAATATTTTGAAGTGAAAAGTAAAGTTACTCCCACCATACATTCTAATACAAATAATAAAGACAGAAAGGTGGTGGATGAAAATAAAAGGGCAAAGGGAAAGAAGCTTTTAGGAGTTATGTGAAAGTGCAGGCCACCGGCAAAAGATATTCTTGACGGAAGTTTTACGTGCTGCAGAAACCACGTCAGTAAAATATTTTTCCTGAATGAACGAATCGTCTTTTCAAAGCGAGTAACGTTCCATTGCAACGAACAGCAAAGAGGGGTGGTGACTGGAAATAGCAGTACAATGCATCGCTATAAATCAACACTGAGCTAAGAAGTAGAAGAAATATTCAACTCAAACTCTCATGTCTCTGCTCCAGGCGATGAATTTCAAGTGTACACGTTTCTATACAGTGCACATATCAGACGAGCGTTAGAAATGCAAAATACCAAAGCATTCATAGCATTGTATGACCCTTTTCTTGATCGTGCAAACTTTATAGTCACATAATTTCTTTATATTTTAGATGTGGGACGAACCTGTTGGACAAAATTTCGCCTAACCACGTCACTGAATTTTTAGCTCATGTCAACTTCGTAACGCAAAATTGACCTTGAGATTTTTGACCAAGTAACCAATTGTAAAATAGGATTGATCATATTCTAACCAATCACGTTGCTGCAGTGACGCTATTCGTGCCAAATGTGCGTCGTAAACGTTTGTGTTTGTAATCGACATTTGCGTGGATTTTCTCTTTATCTAAGCTAAGAACCTTGTTATTAAGCACCATGCGCTATATTTTGGTGCATGGGTATTTGGAAATATGAGCGAGACTAAGTATCTGTGGATTACTAATATTCCTTCCAAATGTAAAGAAGAGGACGTTTCGCGGGTTCTTCGGCGGTATGTTTATCCTTAATTTCGACTTATTTTATATTACTCCAATAAAATCGCTAGCTTATTTCCATATCTTTTGTGTTTTAGTCACGGGGATATCAAGACTTCAAGAACTGTCCATCATAATTCCTGTTTTAATCTTATTGTGGAGTTTATCGACCGTTCTTCTGCAGCCCGAGCTGTTCGCTCTCAAAATATACTAAAAGGAAACATCCTTAAAGTGGATTATTGTGATTCGCTTGGAAACCCTTGGATTTCATCCCTTTCGCATCGATCGTTTCCCTTGGAACCTATTCAAAATCACAAATCTGATCGGTGAGCTTATTTGAGCGTTTTTTGCTGTTCATGTGCTAGTTATTTTGATGTCTTACTGTGCCGTGTACCTCATATCCTTGTGGAAGTGTTGCCTTTATGTTCCAATGTACAGGCCTACTTGCCTGTGCAAATTTTTGCGCATTTATGTAGCACTTGCATGACACTTTAATACCGTTTTCTCGCTGACAATCCCTCCCTCAATTTACATTTTTTTGAAAAATCGATACTAATTGCTTATACTGTGAACCCAATGTGGTTTTTCTTATGGTGTTTTGAGTGTTTTTGACCTCTCTGTAGCTGTATCTCTTTTTATTGCCCTTTTAAAATTGATTGTAGGCTGTACTTCTCATATCCCTTAACCCATTTCGAACAGATTTACTTTCTTATCGTTTGCCCTAGTTTATATACTTCTCTTAATTTGCTATTCTAGTAGTTTATTACTCGCTATATTAAATACTCTACCTTTGACAGCCTATAATTACTTTCTCGTAGCTGAACTACATTCCAATTATTCAGAACTTTTCAAACTATCAGTCCTCTGTATGGTTTGTCCTCGTTTTCTTTTCTCGCTTGTACAATGGGCTTGTTTTCACAGTATATAAAGTATTCATGATGTCTGTTACAAAATACTTAAGCCTTGGTCCAACGTCTCCATTTCTTATGGCCTGTGCAGGATGTGCTTCCGCTTCCAGCGTTTAGGTTATGCACTGGTGCAATGTCAATTTGCACACGCTACTATTTGGCTAGGTCAATGACGCACTTTGTTAAGTTCCAGTACACTTGAAATTCACACACACGACTTCGTACTACGGCGAAATTATGCTTAAGGCCGCAGTTGTGGTTCATCCGGCTTACCTGCCCTCAACGTTGGCAATCGAGGGCCGTTTTTATAATCAGTTGAGTTTTGGACTACGATTTCAGTTTTTTTTTTGCTTTAGATTAGACCGCTTATTTTGGTTCTTCCTAGAATCTGGTTAACCGTTGATGTTTGAATAAAATTTACATCTTGTGAGGTCCCGTTATTTCATCAGCGTTAACGCTTAAGGCCTAGTTTCTCTCATAGCGTCTTTCGCTTGTTGTAAATGATGGCATTAGTCTAGTTAAGGACCTTCTCATTTATTTCTTTATTTTCACCATTTTTAAGCCTTTAAAATCCTCGCTACCTTATATTTTACTGCTAAAACTTGATCGATAGTCATCGCGCCCCTGTGTTTTGACTTGTCAAACGTATTTTCAAGTTTGAGTCTTCTCGTTTTATCGAATTGTGTTTGTGAAACTTCAAACACGCGATGTGCTTAGCTCGTTCTCGTGCTTGTAGGCCCGACACAATGCTGGTTGATAGGCCAGGACCCAGTTCAACCACCTCGAACCACCATCACCATCATCACAACCACCACCACCAACAGCAGCAGCAGCAGCACTCTCCACGAGCCATCTCCTCACCGACGGGCCAGCTCCGCTGCAACGCCCCCGCCGCGTCCAGCCCCCTCACCTCACCACCCTCTAAACCCCCCTCCACCACCTCCTCTTCGGTCCGTCGACAAACCGGCGTGCAGGGTTCCGCACTCAAGCTAATCTTCACCCCACCCGCGAAGTACTCGGAAGCCCAAATCAAGCGGACCCTGTGCCACGAGCTGCACAAATTCGGGAAGACGTTCTGCGTCAACCTACTGCCCTCCACGGCCGGGGCAAATCGCCAGACACGCACCGCTCTAGTTGTCTTTCGGCGACCTGACGACGAGGAGAAAGCCTTCTTGGCCTACCGCAACGGCCCCAAATCGCTGTTCGGCGCATCCGTTGATGTGGAACTGTGTTCCAGCGCCGGTGAGTGTCTGTCGCCCTGTCTACGCATTGCTCATTGGTTGCGAACCCTCGCCTTTATACCCCTTTTTTCCTCTCGTGGTTACGTAACTTGCCTTTTTTTGGTTTAGTAGTACCTTAATCCCCTTCTATGTGCTTTAATATTTACGTGGAAGTTCAATCGTATAGTCAAATTCTCGTGTTATCCGTTGGGTCGTGCATCATTAACTGTTATTTGCATAATGGTACCTCTCATTTAAGCTATTTTACGTGGCTGCACTAAGCTCATTAATCGCGAATTCCATTGTGCAAACCTCGTTGGTGCTGCTACCGTCGAAATCACATGAAAACGTGAGCTTTGTAGCAGTGATGCCACCTAGCGACTCATGCCAACATGCCCACGTGACGCCCGATTTGACTTTGTGTCCTGGATTATTTAGCTACTAAATGTGCCTCGTCTTGGCTAATTGTGTCTTTACTGGCGACAGTTTTTATTCTACAACTGCGAGCCGCAATTTTTCTTAATCTTTTCTGATTTCGTTAAACGGCGATTGAACCATTTCGATTGTGTGCGCATCTTGTCTCATCTGGTACATTAACAAACGACCTCTCAATGAAATGACATTGAAACACCTTTCTCTGTTTTGGAGGGAATTGTGAATTACGCCTTCTTCATCGTCGATCGTAAATTTACTTTGGCCTCACCGGTTTCGTGTACTACCGACGCCTTCAAATTGGCTAACAATCCTTGACCATAGTAACCGTGGTACCCAATTACCTTCATTTATTCGACATGACAAAGGCGCTTGCTCCTCTCAGTGTATATTGTGTTGCCGTGGCGTCAGATGAAGTCATGATGTGAAGCGAGGTGTCTTGTTTGATGTCACGCATAATCAGACAGTTGTGTTAGGTGTCACTCAATTAGATGTCGGCTAGACTTGATTTATTCTCAAGACATCGGCCTAAAGCCTCACTTACACCCACACTAAGCTGCAATCAACCAATGCCCGGTGAGTGTCCAATGCCTTGTGCCTGTCGATAAACCGCCTCAAGTAAAGCCCACAATCAATCAATCAACCAATCAATCGATACTCGTAGTCTGTGAAGGTCAATGGCTTTTTCGATAGCGTTCGCTTTTGGTGGTTCCTTTTTTCTGGCATCCCCTTGTAGCCTTTTTCTTTCTTCCCACGATCAATCGATACTCGTAGTCTGTGAAGGCCAATTGCTTCTCCATTGGCATCGGTTTTTAGTGGCTTTGTGTCTCTGTCGTACTCTCTAAGCGTTTTTCGTTCCACGCACCATCGGTAATCGATACTCGTGGTTTGAAGGCCAATTGCTTCTCCATTAGCATTGATTTTTAGTGGCTTTGTGTCTCTGACGTACCCCCTAAGCGTTTTTTTTCACGCACAATCGGCAATCGATACTCGTAGTCTGTGAAAGCCAATTACTTTTCCGATGGCACTAGCTTTTGGCAGCTCCGTGTACCTGTCGTGCCTCTCGTGTGAGACTGAAGCAGTGCTAGTCGGTATGCGTGTTTGCACACACACACACACACACGCCGGTATAAACTTATCGATCGGCGGCGTTTGTGTACGATACCGTGGTGTGGGTTGTGTGGTGTGTGTGTGTGTGTGCATATGCAGGCACAAAGTGCGTCCGAGCGAATCGGTACACACACGCACACACACACACGAGTGTAAACACAAACTAGACTTGCTTGTGCTAAAACTCTACCCGCTTTGTGCACCGTCGTGGTGGTAAAGTTTGCACCAAAAGCTTCCCCCCTAGTTCGAAGGTCAGCCGCCACCCTCGCTTGTTTTAATGAAGTGAATTTGAAGAATATCAGGCGAAATCGCCACTCACGAGTGCCGACTTGCACTGGTAGTTGTTAGTCGTAAACCCACCAAGCGCCTGCAGCTGCTTGTCTTCTAACCGGGTGCGAATGAGTGCGTAAACATTCTCACTTGTTTCCTACGATAACTGACACAAGCCACTCCCCATTGGTGGAGGCCTAAATTTGTGGCGGATTAAAGTCGCAATCGACATCACGCGGGACAGTCTGGTTTCGTTACAACGATTTACAGCGTCTCAATGTTAGTGCCGTATCTTAAAACGCCCCTCACTTTGTGTTTGTTTGTTTTTCAATTAAAAACAGCATGTCATGTGGCACCTTGACAATCTCCCAGTTTCTGACTTGCTTTTTTTCCACCTTTTATTCCTTCATTGTGGTTTATGCGGTTGACGTGTAGATGTGCAAACCCCCCTCCTATTCAGCAAGCCGCGTTAGGTCTTGTTTGGGGGTATGTGCGTTCACCAAGTCGTCTTAATTGAATCGGATCGCTCTCTCCTTTGGTTAATAGCTAATTTGCTCAACGTCTTAGCATTTGAGCGAAAATTGATCCGAGTTCGGTGGAGATCGGTGTGTTGATCCCAAACACGGCCTCTTGGAAAACTGGATTGGTGGTCTATCTTCGCAGTCTTTCTTTTTCCGAGTTTTGTACTAAATTAGGCGTTGCTGTTGTTGTTGTTGTTGGCTTGCGTTCCTCGATCTGGGATGAGGGTTACAGCGTTAAACTAAGCGGGAAAACAGCCAAGTGTTCGTGTGCCGGAGTCGTCGCTTGCCCTTGTGTTACAAGTGCCAATTCAATAAACGTTGGCAAATTAACACAATTACATCGGTATGGGTTGATGCTTAAATCAACCAGCCAACCAACCAACCATGACGTCATCATTAGTTAAGGGTGCATGTTGTTGACTGCAATTGTTTTCTTAATTTAATCAATCAGTGTTGATGCGCATACACCAATGGTTGGGCTCTTCTTGGCGACTTCTGATTGGGCTCTGACCGTAATAACTTTACCCTCACCATCCTTCCTGATATCCGGTACTTTTGACGTCTCTACGTCCTCTGAACGCCAAGTGCAAATGTCCTTGTAGATTGTGTGATTAACCGCTGCCAAAAAAAACTACATTTAGGTGTCTAGTTACTCCGTTAAGCTTAGAAAGAGTCGGCTTTGTGTTTCATTACCCCGTCTCTGCATTTATACTCCCTCACGGGTGAGAAAATCTGCATTTCAGACCCGGATGCTATTGGTTTGAGTCTTCCGAATGCTCGCATTCGATCAGCGCTGCCGTTGTCGACTTCCTCGCCTGTCTCGCTACATTCCTCTCTCCCACCATCCGATTCAAGTGTCCACCGGTCTCAAGGTCTGAGTCCTGCTGCTTGTGGGGGAAGTGTGCTTCCTAGCCGAACCCTCATTGTCCACGGACTCACTGTTGGCCCGAGCGGACCCGTCTCCGACTACCAGCTGACCACCGCCTTCCGGCGGTTCGGTGAAATCCTGGTACGCTCACCGACAACCAATCCGCCATTCTGTTCACCTTCTTTTAGTAACCTGTTTTGCTATCTTGACACTGCGCCGAACCCTGCGCTTCTACATTTCCGGTCGTGTTTTTCTTGTAGCATGCGCAGATGAAACCGTCCAGTAACTCGGCGACCATCGAATTCGTGGAGTTCCGTGGTGCTTCTCGAGCCATGACGACACACTTGAGGGACCCTCTGCGACTTGGTGGACGCCCACTAAAGCTCTTCTACACTCCCAGTCGACCTAGCACTTGTTTGTGGCTCGCTGACCTCCCTCCAGCACTGGCAAGCCTTCCGGAAGCAGAGCTTCTAGCCACGTTCTCGCGGATCGCTCCCGTCGAACAGGTAGCTTTCCTTGTCTACTCCATTGCCTGTCCTGCGTCCACAACACAAAGCACTTTTTTTTATTATCAAACTCTTCTCTTAACTAGCTGTCTTAGTGCCGGTAAAGGCATCGCGCGTCATTTTATGTGAGCGCCATAGTGATCTCCCACCTAGTCATCAATCATGTGATTCCACTGCACCACCTGCGCGGTGGTAGTCACACTCAAAGCATTGATTTTCGGCTCGATGTCACTGACCTGTTGTTCCCTGTCTCAGATGAGCCTGATCAATCGATCGACAGACGCCTCGCCGCTCTCCACCGTCCACACGAGTGCGTTTTTGCGGCTGCAGACACCGGAGGCTGCCGCGCAGCTCCTCGCTTACCTCCGATCCTCTGAATCACCGCTCCTCTCCGCCTCCAACGCCACCAACCACAACCGCCTGCCTGAATCCACTGCCGGTAGCGCACCCTCAAAACCCCCCGTTTCCCTCTGTTCTGCCGACTTTGCCAGTCCCAAGTATGTGGAGAAATTCGCCAATTCCACTGCCAGGTTGGTCCGCTTTTTTGCGTTGCCTCACTTTACCATCCTCGCCAGGCACGCGGTTGAATGTCTCGGTACTGCATACATGGTCATTATCATCGTGGCTGTGTCGTGTTTCATCGAATTTGGAAAAAAACGAGGCAAATTCCACAAGATTTTCCAGAGATAACCACGGTGCTTTGCTGGGTTTTGTGAGGTTTTTTCTTGCGTGGATGGGATTGATCATGCGTCGATTTGCATTTTGGTATTATTGTACTCATTTTTTTTATTCACGCAGATGCTCAGAATACCTGAATTCAGCACAGGCCAGATCAAGACCGTTGGTGCCTGCCTCACAGCCACCTCCGCCAACTTTTGAAATGGTGAACGGCAAGCCGCGTGTCGACTCCCCGCGCCTCGGTTGTGTCGATCACGATCGCAACCACGGGCGCCACAACTCAAGCGGCGAGGACAACTCCTGCACCGGTTCCTCGGTTTCTACGTCATCCAGCTCCTTCTCTCCCTCGAAGCGACTTAATCTCCCAGCTGAGAACAGCGGATCGGGATTTTCGCGACTTCATAAGAACTCACTGCATGCCACCGGAGGTGAGGGTCACACTCCAGCAACGCCGGCAGCGACTTTTCCCTCCCAGCGGCGAATCGTCGAGGCTTCGCTCTTTCTTCCACAGAAGCGGATAAATGATTCGCAGAAGCGGGATCCTGGGTTGTTCTCCACGAGCACTGTTCACCGTGGCAACTATTCCTCGCACACTCAACAAAAGCTCCGAGATGATCAGGAACTGTTGTCCAGACTGTCGCCAAACGATCCTGTTATCTGTGAATCCATGTACGACAAGATAAAACGGCGTACAGAAGGTGAAAAGGAACGTCGAAAACGACCCCCCATTGAGGATTCACTTAATGGTGAGATTTCGTTAAAGAGGAAGAAAAAACGGAAGCGGGAGTACAATGAGGATGGTGTGTTGGATGAGGACGAGACGCTAGTTCTGGATCGGCATCGAAAGATCAACAGCGAAAAGCACAGGAGGAAGCACTCCGATCCCCTCGCAGACTCCAGACACCATCGTCGCAATCGCCATGGTGGTTCGTCATCATCTTCCTCCAAAGTTACCATCGAAAACCAGCGCCCGAAGCATCAAGCGTCTCTGGCGCCGTCGAAGTCCATTTCAAACACCATTACACGACTCAGTCTTGGAATGAGTGTTCCAGTGGCAGCAAGCTACCACACCATCTCCAAGACTAGTAGCCATGTTCAGCGACCCAACTCCCGATTACTGTCTAGCTCCAGTAATTCGGTATCTGCTGCTACCAGTTCCGAAGAGGATGACACGCTTAAACGAAGTTTCGAACGGCGTTCCCCAACAAGATTAACCGCCATGTCTTCTCCCCGACAAGGTGTGAAAAAGGCTTTCGGTAATCCGGCGGTGAATAGATCCTTGTCCCTCAATGACGTTGACAGTGAGTCAAGTAGTTCGGTTTACTCGTCTGCTGCGTCAAAGCGTCGGAAAAACAGTCGGGAAGGTGTAAAAGCCTCCACAACCACGACAAGGAAGACCGCCTGGTCGGGGAAACAGCAGTGCACTTCGGAGTCCCCACTTGGTCTTGGGGTTCCCTTCCGAGCAGGACGAGCGTGGTCTTCGAGTCTCTCGTCCGACGAAGAAAACGACCGATGGAATGAGTCGCGGTACTCCAAGTGGTCATCAAACGGCAGCGGCGCGAAGGCGAATCCGGTGGTGAGTAGCGATAAGCGCAGGAAACAACGAGTCGCCAAACCGAAGCACACAGGACGAAAGATACGTTCTCTGAGTGATAGCAGCAGCAGCAGTAGCAGTGGTGGCGAGTGTGATTTTGATCGCGCCAGCGCATCGAGTTCTGTTTCGGGCAGTGTGTTGGGCGCTAATGCTGTCGGTAGCGGCGGAAGCCGTCCAGTTAAATCAGTGTCTCCTTGGCGTGGCTCTGAAGCGCAAGCGCCGTTCTCTGATCCGGATGACGGTGACAGTTTGGATGACTTTGAGCGCTTCTCCGCCAACTCTCCCTCCACCCCGTCGACTGAGGCCATGGAGAGCTGCCCAGAGGCTGATGATGACGAGGGCGACCGTCTCGTATCCGACTGGCCTTCTTGCATGTCCAGCAATAACTCGCCTTTTCTTTCAGAACCTGAGTCGGATCCTGGACACTCCTCTCTGCACCACGGCAGTGATGGCAGACCTGAGAGGAAGTCGCTAGATGAGAACTTTTCGCGCAACTTCGAGGACGTGACTATGCTCAACTGTTCGAAGGATGAGTCACTAAATCTAAGCGGAGGTGATGCGATCGGTGAGATCAGGATGGATGATCAACCCTCACCCAAGCTAAACGAAAGCAGTGATAAATCAACATCCAAGTCCACAGTGATTGAGGAAGAAGGGGTTTATACTAAATCGGAACCACTAAAACTTGAGACAAGCCCAATCATTTCGGCGAAAGCGGCATCGACGACTCCACTGAAGATCGAACCTGGCTCACTGCCTCCGCCTCCGGTGCCCCTGATGTCGCCGTCTGTCCACCAAGTCCTCTCGCCGTATTCTTCCTCCTCACCCACACAGTCGTTGTGCTCCGCTTGTTCGCGGACGAGCCCTTCTCCCGTCACGACCTCGGCGCTGATCTTAACTTCCTCGTGGGCATGTTCCAACACGTCGCCAGAGACTACTGCCTGCGTGAAGACCACTGCGTCTCTGCCGCAAGACACTGCTCCAAAGATCAAGCCCTCGCCGATAACCGACAAACCAGCTGCTCTTTCCGAGAATCGCGATCTGGAGCGCTACGTCCAGAGTGTGATTGAGCGCGTCAAGGCGGAAACCGTGGATGACTCACAGCAGCAGCAGCCACAACAACAGCATCGCCCTGTTCAATCCGCGGTTGGGCACGTCACTGCAACAACCCCAATCACCTCCCCGTCGCATCCTCCCAATGGCTCGCCTCCCACACCGACCTCTAAAAAAGGCGCCTCGCCTGCCACTAGCATCATATCATCTAGGCGAGCGTCGGGCGGCACATCTCCTGGGACAACGACGACCCCATCTCCGAATACGCGCTCCGCTATGGGAAGGGTGCCCGCCAGGCCTCCGTTTGATTTGCCCACCAGCTTTCCAAGTATACCTGGGGTCAATGCGTGTGCGCCAATCAGTGAGACAAGCCTTACGCAGCCGAACAAGGTGGTGGTGCATAAAGTAGAGGAGCCTCCAACTGAGGCAAAAGTCCTTCGTTCGTCGTCCCGACGACGCGGGAAAGCTGTTGCCGTCGCACCGACAGCGGTGGAGGAGGTTGCCGTAGACAAGGAGGTGGAAAAACCCCTAGATTCATCGGAGCAACCGATGGATCCTTACGAGCCAAACTTTGACGACGACTCGCCTCCCGTTTCTAAACCCACCGCAAACGCTACCTCGCCTCTGATTATCAACACGAACCTGCCCACGTCGGCCTCGGAGCAGATTGGGCCCGCTTCCTCCATCTCAAGTGTGACGACAGAGGAAGTTGCGTCAACGCTGCCCCAGCAATCAGCAGGCGAGCGTTCTAAAACGAGCACCAGACGAACCGCCTTGGACACGGTTGATGAAGTAATCTCGGAGGTGTGCTCTGGCCACTTTGATATGCAAGGGTATCTCGACAGTTGGCGCCGTCCGCTGTCGGCTGTCGCTTCAACAACTGCACCAGCTCCAGTAACAACTGTCACAGGTCCAGCCGTCTCGACTCCAGTAGCAGCGGTAGCATCGACGACGACGACCCCGCCTTCTGCGAAGGCACCCGATGCCTCCAACTCGAAATCGCCCGCAGCCAACAATGCCCTCTTCACCGCCATTATCAACGCTCTGCAATCCATTCCGGGTAGTCAAGTGGTAATCGGCGGTAATAATAACAGCGGTGGGACGGTGCTTCAGCCAAGTGTACCAGTGGCCGCTTCCGTCGCGCCAAACTCCAGTCAGCAACTGACTCAAAAACCCTCGACTGTGGTTGTTGGCTCGAGTCCACCAACTATTTCCGCGACGACTATCACCTTCCCCGTGAATGCCGTATTTCTGAAGGTGGGTTCTCGTGTTTTATTTGCTGTCTCTCTCCTCGCCCCACAACGTCGACATTTTATTACCTTTTTGGTTTCTTTGCAGAACGTATTCTCGGCCTCCGGTAACTCGGCGAAAAACGCTTCAGCAACCCCGTCTTCGATCAAGACAAGCATGGCCAATTCGCTGCCTGCAACGATGACTACTGCTTCCCCTTTGACCCAGCAGCAACTTCATCAACAACATGTCTCCTCAGTTGTGATGTCTAGGCCGCAGTCGTCAACGTCGGAGAGTGCTAAAGATACCCCTCACCCTTGTCGTATGCGACGCGGAAGTGATAATGGCCCGGGTGCTTCAACACAGCCAGCCTACGTCGATCGCGGCCGCTCCCGCTCCAATTCAGGGCTCCTTGACGATGTTGCGGTGTCTACCACCTCGGGAACACCGATTCCGCAACAGCGGTCCATTTTTAACCCCCGGTGTTTCACAAGTCCACCACGGTTCCCCCCATTATCTCCTCCACGCCATGTTCCACCGCCGCCACCGCCACCGCATCCTCCAACACCCTGGTCACTCGGGCCCTTTCATTCCTACCAGCGTCCAACTCGGCAGGAAGCCCCTATGTCACCTTTCACGCCAATTCTCGAGAAACTCTCTCGTTTGATCGAGCCCGAATTGGTTCTGCCGTTGATCCAGGCTGTGGCTATGCAATTGGGCCAAGACGGTCTGAGCCAGCTCTCAGAAGCTGACTTGATTGCTTCCATGATGAAACTCTTTCACCACATCACAACCAGCGGCGCTGGAGGAGGCGGAGGAGGAGAAGCCTTCACGGGGGTCTCACTCCCACCAGCCACCACAAACTCCGCTCTCTCTGCCAACTCGACACCCAGTCCGTCGCATGCCGCCGTTTCTGTGGCCTTCGGCTCGAACTCAGACCACCCCTCGCCGGGGATGTTCACGTCGCCAACGGTTAATCGAGGAGACCAGCCTAGTGGAGGGCAGTACCTCCATTCACGGGCGCCAAGCTCATCCTCTCCCTCTACCACGCGGACTGGCAGCTTCGACCAGGTGCGGTTGTCTTTCGTTTTTTTGAACTCTTTCTGACGCACTTGATGTGATGCCCCGAAACCTGTTGGCATCCATTTTATCTAGGATATACAACAGGCTTGTGAACACAGTTTATTAAGCGTTTTCATGTAGCATCGACACCCTAAATTCTGTAAACCGTTTGTGTTGACAGAGGCCACATTTCAGTGCGCTGATATTCGGACTTCCGTGTATAGGGTCACAAGAAACCTAGTAAACTAACAGAGGGGTTGCTGGGGGTACAGGGTTGTTACGTTTTGCCCGTAACCGGGGCCACACACTTAGATAACCGGTACCAAGATTCCTTGTCAGACGCTAGCACCCACCTTTCCTCGTGCATAGAGCCTTTATCGTCCCAGCCAATAGCCGAATGATCTGTCTGAATGTGTCATGAGTGACCTTGACCTGACGGATCAAGGAGGATTAACACAGAGGGGGCTGTCAGTAGGGCGCCGTGGGTGACTCACCCACTGGAGTGGCGTGGTTAGGGGAATTGTGTGCACCATGCCGGAATCCTAACTCGCGATGAGCCGTCTTGGGGAATTCTGGTTCCCCAGCCAAGCTTTACAATGGCCACCTAAGATAGCTTTGGTCTTGTTCTCCCACACACACAGGCCTACCCGCTTGTTTGGCAAGGTCGGCTCTCGCTGAAGAACGCCGAGGTGAGCGTGGCCCTGCACTTTGTCCGTGGCAACGCCGAACTCCTGCGCTCCTGCATCACCCTGCTGGCTGTGGGCGGCGGCGGAACACCACAGCAGGCGCTGGTGACGTCTGGCGGGCCCCTGCGGATAGTTCAACGCATGCGGCTGGAGGCCTCCCAACTGGACGCCGTGCAGCGGAAGATGACCCAAGAGGGCGCCTCGTGTGCCTGTGTGGCCTTCGCCTCGGGCTCGAATCGGGCCGACCTCGCGCAGCAGAATGTCGCGCTCTCCGAAGGCTTCATCCGCTACATGCTGGAGAAGGGAGCGGCGGGGATAATCAACGTCGGCCATCCGGAGGTCTCTCAGGTGTGTACTTGGCCCTCCCCCCTCTCGATTACCTCTAAACCTTCTCTCGTGGTTTCCCTTGTTTCTAATTTCACGCAAGTAACACGCAAATCAACCACACATACTGGCGGTTACGTGACACGCACTGCCTTGCGCGAGCACGCTAGCGTGCCTAGTTGGTTTTTAATCGTGGTTCACAACCAGCACTGCTGCGCAGTGACTGTGGCGCCATCTCGGCCAGTGGTTTACTCTTAGGCGGACGACCAGTCTGTTGGTCAGGTTTTTTTTGTCGTTGGTCCATTTCAAAAGTGGACTTGTTCGTTCACTCGCCGTTCTACGGCGTCTAGTTAACGAACGAATTAGCAAGTAACTAACAATCAGTGTGGCCCTGGAGCAGCCGTTTCGCTCAAAGCCTCGTCGCGGTTGCTTCCACCCACCGACTACCCCTTGGTCTAGGTGATTTTGTCTCTTTTCACTCAAACCATCAGCCGTTAGCACGTTTTGGCTGTGCACGTACATTGGAAGCTCCGCCAACTACCGACTCGCTTTGTTGAAGCTTCAAAACCGCCTGGTGCGTCAAAATGCTGGCGTTTATTGTGTGTGTGTGTTAACTGCACAAAGATCCCTGAGTGCCCTCTGTCTACGTGCGTGTTTGTCCGTCTCGCGCATCCAGAAGTTGAGCTGGTTGACCTAGAACTTGGTTTTAGGACTCGGCATAGATTGAGGAAATCGTGTGTGTGTGTGTGTGTGTGTGTGTGCAACTTTAGCCCGTGAATAATCACCCTCCGCTGTGTGTGGGTTCTGGCAGCGGCCACACCTTCCTTTCCTTCGACAATTGGCCTATTCTCCTGCCTTGTCGAATCATTGTCCCAATCCAGTCAATTCTTCGTAGTTTTTGCTTTTTCACGAATTCTCGATCATCAACTCTCTCTCTCTCATTGAACGCGGCATGGCCGTTTGTATGTGTATGTGTGCCTAATGCCTAGCCACGTCAACTTAATGCCTTCGTGAGGATCTTGCGGCTACGTGTGTTAATCTGTGGATCTGTTGAGCAACGCAGTCGAGCCTAGCGACCACGTTGGGGCTCGAGCCCACACCTCAGCTCGGTCCTTTCGCCTCCTGGTGCGTGTCTCACGGAGGTCAACTCTTTGCCTGCTGCGTGGGGGATTCGGTTTGCCCCCACGACTACACCCCTCTCCCTCCCCCCCCCGCCGCCGCCTCCACGAGCAACAACCCGCGTCCCGTAAATGGGCCTGAACTTTGCGCTGTAGGTCACGCCACCGCCAGCGCGGTTGCTACGTTGAAGCTGCGCGTGGGCGAATTGCCCGTACAAACGAGAGCGTGTGTGTGTGTGTGTACACGTGTGTGTACGTGCGCGGCGCGCGCTCCAGTTGCCGTGGTCACGTCCATCGATCGCGACGCCCTTGCCGTTGCTGCCACCCTTCGCATCTCCTTTCCTTTTTTTTCTCGCCCTTGCGCTGAGTCACGCGCACGTTTCTACCGTTAACGCGGCGACGGCTGCCTGGCGTGGAGAGGCACGACCGTGGTGTGCCGCCGACCACCGGTCCCTCGGCTCGCGCCCGATTTCAGGCTGCGGTGGGACCTTGGTCGTTCAAATCCCAACTTCGTCGTGGAATGCCTTTCGAGCATTCGAGCCGCCGCTCGTGATCGTCACGCCTCGACCGGCGGTGTGTCCTCAAATCCCCCCTTCCCTCCCCCCACCCGCGCTTCAGACGCTTTAATGGCGCAGCGTCGTCTGTCGTGAGGGCTTTTATGGCCGCGTGCAGATGCGCCGTGCGTGCACACGCGCACATTGCAAATTAAATTTGCTATTGCGCGGTTTACTCGGCTTGTCGGTAGATGCGGTTTCGGCGAAATTGCTTCGCTCACGCGCCTGATGTGGTAGTAGTTTAGTGTGAATTCGCCTTTCGCGCGAGGTCAGCTTGTTGAAAGTTAACTCGTCATAAACCCTTTTCCAACCCGCTGCGAACTCAGACCGATGACTAATTATTGATTTAAGAGACCCCAACTCAATCACATTCCTCCCCCCACCCCATTTGTCAAGATGAGTCATCAAACGATGCCTCTCACCTCGTTCCATCGTCTCGCTTCGATTGTGTGCGCCACCACGGCGACTGTGGGGAATCGAGATTGATATCCCGTTGGGTGCACGAAAGTGCTATCGCCAAGGTCCCAGAGGGTTGTACCGGTGTGCCGTGGAGCTATTTCCAGCCCGCTTACTGGACGCGGTGACTCAGCAGTGCGTGGGTCGACACACACGCGCGTGCGTGTGCGTTCGCCTAGTGAAGCGAGCCTTTTTCGTCATTTGTCTTTTTCCATCGTGGCGTGGGTGCATGTGTGTGTGTGTGCCGTCGCCTAATCGGTCGAGCCATCTGCGTCGTTGTACGCTATTTGTCGCGCATCTGGGGTTTCAGCCTCGCCTCGTGCTGCGTATCCGATGCGAACTCGCACCTGTCGCTTGAAGCCGTGTTTTACTCGGTTTTTCTCCGAACCTACACACTTTCTACGTACTTCCTTGCTGTTTACAGCTTCGCCTCGGTTGCCAGGACTGAACTGCGCGACACAAACAAACAAAGTATTTTAGTTGATTTAAACAAACTCAAGGTTAGCGTTCGTTGGCCTCGTTTTTCCGCCACTCGTCCGTATCTACTCTACTTCCATCGACTTGGGTCGTGAAGAGGTGCCCACCCTACATTCATATGAGAGAAGAATACGCATTCCCTGTGTCGCCGTGCCAGCGTGAAGCACATCACGTAGGCCTGTAGTGCTGCGAGCGACCTTGCTGTGTCTAACGTCAAGATCCACACACGTCGTCACACGCTAAGTGTCGGTGATTCTCGCCCTGCATTCCTAGCGGCTAAAACGCGTGGATGGGTGTTTGGTGGAGATGCATAATTTACGAATTACGATCTCGGCGGCAAGGCGCAACCACCGTCCCGCACCGTCGCAACTAAATTTAGCTCTCGTGTGTGTGTGCGTGCGCGCGTGCGTGCGTGCGTTGGCTCGTGTGGCGGCGTTCGCGCGGATTTTGCATGCAGTAGCTGCAGCGGTGCGCGTGTGTGTGTGTGCGTTGCCCTGGCTTCTTTCGTGCGCGCTCTCGCCGCCAGCCTGGAGCGCGATCGATAGACCAACGCGCGGTGTGTTTGCATGCAGGCAGGCAGCAGAAGCACGTGAGCACGCACGCACGCACTGCGCGCCTACCTTTCGCACAGGCGTGCGCGTCTAGTCTGCAAGACTGCCTGCAGCGGCCTATCGATCGGTTGCTGCTTGCGTGCGTGCGTGCGCGCTCGCCCCATCCAACACGGGACTGGTTTCTCACGCTGAGATCGCTTGCAGCGTGATTTTCACCCCGTTCTGCCTCTCGGTTGTTTCCAGAGCCTCTGCGGTTCGGTCTTTTGCAATTTAGTCTGTCGATTTCTTGCCAGGGGAAATTTTGCTGTTGGCGGAAATCCACGACTACCGTCAATCTTGTGGGGCTTTTTTTCTTCAAATTTGTTAATTACATAACACTAGTGCGCTGCCCGCCCACTCGCACACATCAGGGCCAATCAGCTCCGTGGTGCGACTGGTGTTTCACGTGTCAGAGTTCACACATTCGGAGTGGCACCTCATCGATGGTCTTCACAAAGCACCTTGTGTACTTTATGCAAATTACAGAGTAAAGAATTCTGATTGTTGAAATTAAGGCAGTGTCAACGCATTCTTCATTAGGATGTGAAGATGAGTGGAATTGAGGTCTTTTATGAAGTACCCGAGGCGAAAAATCGATAGGTAAAGAGAGAGAGACACTAGTTCTGCTCGGAGTTTCGACCAGGTTTTGTCGCGCCACTGGTCAATGCAGTCTGCGTGAACCTGTTGTAAAAGTACAAATGGCCGAGGTGGTGGCTAGATAAGTGGGGTGGTGAGTGGCGCGGGTGGTACACGCATAGGGAGGGGGGTGCGTGTACCGACGGTTCGGTGTGATCGATAGGCCCCTCACAAAAGGGGGACGGCGGTGACTCGAAGGCTTCAACACCCGGCCTGCTGAACACGAATCAACACGATTCACCACGGCAAGTGGTCTCCCCTCGAACAACGGGCTCCAGACGCCCTGTTTGGTAGATATTTCAGAAGAATTCTACTGCTACCGCGGTGGAACGCTAATACTTTACTAGTCGAAGCAGTTGGTAGACATATGGACCATTTTCGAATCGATTGGAGCCGTTGGAATCGTAGAAAATTAGATACCGCGCGTGTGTGTGTGTGCGTACACTGTCTAATCGATGTTTTTTTGTTTGATTTCATCCCTAGGGTCTCTACGTGGTGCACATATTCCCACCCTGTGAGTTTTCCCACGCGCAACTCCGATTGGCTGCTCCGGATCTGCACCAGGGCATCCTCCAGACCCAGTTGCCGCACCTCCTAATCGTCATCACCACCGTCTGAACACGATGTGTAAGTTTGCGGGGCACTGATTTCACGACTAGGCTGGTGTCGTTGTTCTGTGAAAGCTTCTTTGTGCGCCAGCTCCACGGGAGGTCTGACACGTCGTCCGCGCCACCTTCCATGGGCGGGTTTTTTTCAGTGTTGAGAGAAGTGGTGTCCTGGTGGTGTGCAACGCGTGTCCTCTATCTAGTTCACGCTGATTAATTTGCCCGCGCGTGACGCCCTTTTTATAGTTCCCGGTTGGTCACAGAAATGGGACGGAATCGCGGCACGGTGTTGCCACCTGTCCGCTAACAGGACGAGACTCGGCCATTGCCTACCCACGCGCTCGCTGGTTCGCACGGCCATGTGCACGTGAGATCATTGATCGTCTCGTCTGTCGTCTGCGTGGACGGTCGCAGCACGTGCGCACGCCTCCGCCGCCACCATCATCATCAGCCTATCCCTCTCCTCATTTTAGCCCACTCATGTGCTCAACGCGCTGGAAGTGAACAGCCTCTTTCGAATCAAGGCAGCAGAAGTGTGTCGGTTGGCCGTTCAGTGGTTTTAGCCCGTCCCCCTCCCTCCCGTGTACATACGCTCCCCTCAGTTGTGTGTGCGCGCAGCCCCCCCCCACACACACATGCGCGCCTCTCTCTTACGCCCCCTCACCCTCCTCAAATCCCGCTGTTGTACACATGTGCCCCACGAAGAGTAGTACCACCTAACCCCCTCCCCACACCGCGCGTGGAGATCGTGCCGCCCACGCCTTTGGGTCTGTCCGAATCCTGTCCATCTCTGGTCTCTGTCTCTCTCTCTCTCACTTTATTTAATTTGCCAGAGTATTTTTAATCTACGTACGTATATCTTTGTGTACAGTTTTGGAAGACACAACTGCACTTCCCGTTGAAGCGTGCAGTTCAACACCACCACCACCACCATCTCTCTCCCCGCGCCCAGAACTCGCTTACTCCCTCTTTCACAGCCAACTTGTGAGCCAAGTTACAATCATGTCTGTACACATATTCACTCCTCTGTACCTCCCACCCATGAGTGCATATATATACATATAATTATATCCTACACACGAGTCTGCTTTCGCGGGATTAGGCATTGGTCCACACCTAGGGACCACTCTGCCCCGTATGGACTGGGGTTTGGTGTTCTGTTCGTGAACAACACAAGAACGACTCGTCCGCAGGTCCTGTTCGGTACCCGAGGACGTGTGGAGGTTTCGTGACGCCTGTCTTGACAACCAGGACCCGGCGGCAGTCGAGATTGCACTTCGCCGTGGTGACCTGTAGATGTGTGAGAGGCTTGGTTGGTGTGGGTGCAAACCAGAACAGCTGGGTGGTGAGAACGTCCCATGAGATGCAGACGCCTCGTTCGCACTCGTCGTAGCACGAAGCTGTTCGCTCGCACGGTCGCCGGGTGTGTAGTTCTGACAACATGTGACGCCGGCTCAGCATCTGCGTATTATAGATGTTCTAGGTACATTCGTGGGCATTCAGATACAGTGCTATCCACACAACAGAGGCCCTGAAAATGTCAACGTTCTCCAAAACAATTTCGTTAACACACAATTACAAATCTACAGTCACTCCACATCACTGTTTACACCGACAATTCGTCATTTGGTGGCAATCGCTCAACCCACCGATCTCAGATCGCTCAGGCGTAAAACTTCGTGCCCAAATTCTAGGAAGCCATCGACGTACCAAACAGGGAGTTTCGAATATTTACGCGCTGGGCTTTACACCTACATTCAATTCCTCAACACGACAATAGTCCTGGCAATTGTTTGGGGCTGTACAGATTCTCAGATCACTAGAAGCACCTATGGGTGATTTTTAAAACAATAAACCTCAGATACCAGTATCCGGACTATTTCTACGAGGGATTGTCTAGCTGGATCAACTTCCCGTCTAGCATCTATTGATACCAACACTGTTACTGAGGTAATTTGCCTTATATCTTTGTACCCTTGTCGATCTCAGACAACCGGAGTCCAGCTGTGGGACTTAGCTTGCTCGGATGCAGGCCCTACTGACTCTTTACACTGTAGACTCTTCTGGGTTTGAACATCCTTTTCTCTGTGGTAAATAGGGCGTTTGTTTTACTATCTCGTCTGCTAAAAAAAAGAGGCGGAAAGCCGTCAGTCCAGCAAGGAAAGCGTGGCAGGTAGCTCTCCTATTCCGTGTGAATTCACGCGTGACGTGTGACACGTGTCGGACACACACGATACTGCCTGAACTCGCGGAAAAAACTAATCATGTGTGTGAAAGTGAACACGTGTTTGAAAATATGTGCCAAACTTCCGTACCTGAGCTGTCGTGCTTCAGGCACTAATTTACCAGTGTCGTTTGTCTTGTCAACATCAAGTCAAGTGGCGGTCTTGAGTACTCCACTTTGGCACATCATCAATAAACGCGACACGTACCGTTGGCAGTTAGAAGACAGTACTCTAAGGCTAGTACTTCGTTAATCAGCCCTACTTTTCAAACTGAACGTGGGTTGGGTTTTTAACCGTGCCTAAGGTAGTTTGGATGGTATTAAATGGTCTCCTGCTAGTCTTTAACTGATCAAGACCCAGAATCAAGCCAGTTTGATTGACCAGAAATATTGTAGAAGGAATTGCTCACTCAACTCAAGCTCTTATGGCGATTGTGAAATTGAAGCCGACTAGCAGACCGCCGTCTTTGGCACTTGTGGATGTAACGGTGGCACTTGAACTCGTTTTACCCTGCAAACGATCATCTCCACTGCTCACCATAATGGCAGAAGAAATTATGGAATTCACACTGCCCCTAACTTGAAGCTGGCATACACAACTTGAGCGACATCATAAAACAAGGCACTGTGAAAGGCGTGGGTTGATGAGTGAGAACGTGAAAAAAAATTGACGTGGTGTGATGCGCTGCATGCCCCGTGCTTTTCAAGGCCACTAGTTCCCCCCCCCCCCAATGTTAACGGTTCTCTGCGTGGTCTTGACGGTTTGCCACACTGAAATTTCTAAAGAGCACGAGAGCAAGATGGCTATCGATGAAACGAAGAGTGGTCGTTAGAAAATTGCGCAATCTGCTTCTCTGTGAACAGCGGAAAATTGTTTACTTGAATTCGCACACCGCCTCGAAAGTTTACCGCCAAAGCAGCGACGTTAACCAAGTGCATTCTGATCTGTAGACGACGAATCAGGCATGCACAGCCGTCATTGACCGCGAACAGCTCCACCAATCACATTGCACGAGGACAGACAGGCCTGGCCAAACAGTACAATTTTTAGAAGTGGAAAACGGTTGATTTCGGTTGGGCGTAATGCGGGTAATGCTGCAGCTTCGATGCACTTCATGCTACTAACAACCGAGTAGTCTTTGCTTGAATTTGATTTCGTGTTCCCTTCCAACCTTCAAGTCTGACCAAAATTTGGTTTCTCAAACACCTGAGGTGATGGTTTTGACTGGAAGTCAGGACAAATGAGCCACAAAGTTAGACTCTATTTGGAAATCAGAATGAAAGAGGGAGGGTCGAAAGGAGGGCTTCTCAACATCACGAGGGATCATTCCTCTGATGCGCACTTACGACAGATGAACGTCTTGATACCTGTATTTCGGTTCTGGAGGATCCATTTACCCGGGCATCTCCTGATCCAATAAGCACCCGTAATGATACGACGGAAATGACTGTATATTAAAAAAGAATCGAGGCCCTTTTAAAAACCAACTTATTAAAGTGGTTTTGTACACACCTCGAAAACAGTAAGACGAAAGCATTAGTTGGATTTAGCCACTAGGAAGCGTATCAACTCAAGCTCGCGTACACACGGATCACCCGCCTAGCATTGTTTATAGTGGCAGAATTATTGTTGACGCTGATTTCAAGTGGTAAAAAAAAACGAGACAAACGCCTTGTAAATGTCCTGCGATTTGGTACCGCGCCTAAAAATCGACTAGTTGAGGTTTTCTCTGAGCTCACACAAGGACGATGCAATTCTAGAATTAGCCAAAAGCGATCACACGATCGGATCAAATTAGCATTTCATTATGCGAATAAGCTGAGTCCCATGATTTAATTCACCATCTTCTTCAAACCACCCGCACTAAACAAAGGCCACTTAAAGATAAGCCAGTGTAATCGTTTCGATAAGTAAATGTATGTTAGCAGAAACCGGGTTTCTAATCGCACTCCTTCACATCATTCACAGGGAGGTTATTGGCGAAAAAAAATTAATTAAACCCAATCACTCAGAACGACATAAAATCTTGTCACAGATGACGGAGTAGGAGAATGTCAATTACTTTGCTCTCCCTTGCCAAGTCAATCTGCGTCACGGTTCTCATGACCAGGTATCGGTGTTTTAAATAGCCCAAATTGTAACACGTGCCCAATTCAAAGCTTGCCCTCAAGTAAAGGGGAATAATTAAAGGATTTGTGGGAATATTCCTTCCTAGTTTAAAAAAAGTGTTCACAATTTAAGTGGGATTTCACAGTCCGGGTTAATGACTTGTGGCAATGTTCCATTAAAAATTTATTAAGAATTCAGGTAGAGCCGAAACTAGGATTCGTCACGTAAAAATAGTTAACAAGGCTACTTTATGAGAAGCAGCGAAATCTTACAATCAATCTGCCACGAAGCTAGGGTTTAGTGCATTTCCATTGGCAAGCTAGGTGACAGCTGAATTGAGCTGTGGCGGTTGCAAGCACACAGCAATTTTAGCGCGATCATCGATCGGAAGCGAGTGCCGACCAATCAACTGGCGCGTCGACGTTGCGTGGAAAAAAACCAACTACCGAGGCGCAGCGAGCTACTCTCCCACGATCTCAAATGTTTTTTTTTTCATTCTGAATTACCTTTAATTAAGTAGAACGTAAAGTCAATGGTTGGATAGAAGACCTCCGAAATGGATTATGCTCCAGAGGTGGCATATGATTAGAATGCTGTTTTTTAATGCTTTAATATCTGGAAAGTTACCAGAAGTTACCTATTGCACCACGGTCCAAGCATTAAACCAGTAACGTCACAAAATAGCCTACAAGTGAATATAGCGCGCTTGAGATTGCACAACAAAGCATTCCTCGAGTAAAAGACTCCAGTGTGGTTTTTTTAGACAAAGTTGTAGAAGGAAAGCATCTTGGTAAATACTCACACTTTTAGGCCCTTTCGTGGTGTCTCAAGACAAAGCCTAGGCACCTGACACTCCATCACAAAATCCCAAGTAAAGTGAATTTGAAAGCGTGTTTACATTCACCCGCTTGTTACTGGCATGGAAGCCAATCATTAAGATTTACCAACGATTTTAGCACAAATAAACACCAAAAAAGGGACCGTCAGCCTTGTTACTACCGGCTTTTGTTGGGTCTCGGGTGGGTTGGAGAAGGGTTTGCCCCGAGTACCACGCTGAAGGGATTTCCTCAGATTGGCCATGGTATCTGTGAGGTGGTTAGTGTAATTACTGT